CCTGACAGGCTTGATGTATGCGTATATTGCAGTTAGGGAAGCTGTAATTTCTAGGGTGTTATATATGTGTGATGAGAGGACTCTATTTAAATTCTACATTTGTGTGTGTGTGTGCGTATGTGTGTAAAGAGCCGAGAATAATCTTGAGAAAGAATAAGAAGGCAAGGATTTTTACAGTAGTATTGTGTTAGTTACTTTTCTTTTGTTGCTGAGGTAAAATACCTGAAATCCAAAGTTAAGAGGGTAAGGGGTTTATTTGTCTCACAGTTCGTAGAGGTTTCAATCCATAATCAGTTGGCTCCAGGCAGAATGGTAAAGAGGCAACAATTCCTGGTAGTGGAAGACACCAAAAACAACAAAGGACCTTACGGCAGAGAGACATGGGAGAGGAAAAATAGTTCATGGCACCCATACAGTAGCAAAAGCAACAAAGGACTTTAACAGGCTCTTTCTGCTCCTTTTATCTTATTCAGACTACTGGGATTAGGGTGCTGCCAAACCAATCACTCCAGCGTAGTGGTTTAGTAATCACACACCCTTAATCCTAGCATCACACTCTTGATCCACCCACCTCTGAAAAAGAAAGTTTTACCTCATTTGCATGAGGCTGTGGGGGGAATAGCTAAACACAAGCCACAGCAAGTATCAAGACATTATAAATCTATAGCAATTTAGGTGGTGTATTGCAATAATAGGCATATAGGGCTTCTGGCATAGTATTGCAACAGCAGAAATAGGATCACATAAATCTGATGTCGGATTTAAAAGAAATGCGGTATTTCAGATCAATGGGGAAAAATGTATTTCTCAGTAATAAGGTACTGACTAAATTTGGCATCTATATAAAGAAAAAAGTGAAATATTTGTTCTTACACCACACTATGCATTTCCACATTGATTAAAAAGCGAGACTTGGAAAGTAGCATAATAAAACTTTTGGAGAACATGTGAGAACATCGTCAAACTATTTTATTGTCAACTATTCAGTTAACCAAAGAACTAAATTTACTGAAACTTTCTTGGGGGGGGGCAGTTATTTCTGTAGAAGATAAGAATGTAAGTATTTTCATTCTGCTAATAGAACAGCAGAAGGTATATTAGGTATAAGGTCTTTGAAGACCAGTCTTAGGCTTGGTATATCTAGAGGTGTGTGGTAGAGTGAAATGCTGTTCATCAAATATCCCTAGTTTGTGTCTGCAGTGTTCTCGGTGGGGTTATGGGTTCTGTTATGGCATCTAGATGTCTCCCAAGAGTCTCAAGCCCTTGAAGGTGGGGCTCTTGGAAGGTGATTGGATTATGGGGGTTTATAGCTGACTTGTTATTAGGAGGTAAGGTCTGGTTGGAAAAAGCAGGTCACTGGGGGCATGTCCTGGAGGAGATTATCTCCCTCCCTCCCTCCCTCCTCCTGTTACTCTCTCTGCTTCCTGTCTACCACCCATTAGCAGCTCTCCTTCACTATGCCCCTCTGCATACTGTCCTGCTTTGGAGCCAGCTGACTATGGACTGAAACATGAGCCAAAATAAACCTCTCCCCTTCCTTAAGTTGTGAGTACGGGGACTACAATAGATTTTGGAATTGAGGAACGGAGTCTTGCTTGTTCCTGTGATGCCTTCGAGTCATCTTTTCTATTGTCCTGTTGTAAGTACTTGGCTTCTTTTTAATGCTAATCTTTTCAGCAATCAAGCTCTCCTCTGCTCCAATTTTATAGGTCCCAACTTTACTGGAGCATCCTTTCTGGACAAATTCTAAACTTTTAAAATCACCTGTGCCCTTTGCTCTTGATTTTCAATGTAGAGGTGGCCAAAAGCCCCCCAACAGTATCCATCCCACAGCCTCAGGCTGCCTTGAAATTCCTCTACCAGATTAATTAGTTCACTCCATTAGTCTCCTTCAAAGACTCAGGATATGTACAAAATGTAGACAAATTTTGTTACAGCATAACATATATGCCCTGGAGTTCAACTGCCAGTGGTGTCTTTGTTTTCAGCTGAAATCTCCCGAACTTTGTCTTTGCTGTCTGCATTTCTATCAGCATTCTGGTCTTCTGAGGTCTGGCCAGAATCTCCCCTCAAGCATAGCTTACAACATTCTAGGGGTTCACCAGTGAGCATTTCCAAACCTTTCCAAACTCCTCCCACAAACCACTACCAAAAGCTTCTTAGCTACACGGTTAGGTAGCATCACAGCGACAACTCCCACTCCTCTGGTACCAAAATCTGTATCAGGGTTCACTAGAGGAACAGATTTAATATTCTATATATATATCATTTACACATATATATATGCATATATGATTTACTAAGTAGGTTTACAATGACCACTTGCAGAATCAGAGCTGGGAGTAGGCAAAATGGCTAGTCTGTCTTGTGCTGGAGAGTCAGAGGATACAGTCAAAGGTCAAAGGCCTGGAGCTCACTGCAAAGTCTGGTGTGTGTCTACATCAGAAAGCCAAGAGGTCTGCATTGGTAAGCTGAAGAGTCTGAGCCAGAAGCCTGAAGAAACTGGAGACCAATATCTTAAGGCAACCAGAGCTCCTCCAAAGGAGCAAAAGGGGAGTTTTGATTTCCTTCCCTTCTCATTCCATCCACATCTGGGACAGATCTTCCTTTCTCAGTTTGCAGCTTACATGTCAATCATCCACAGACAATACCCTGAACTATACTCTACCACTTTTTGAGGTGTTTCTTAATCCACTCAAGTGGACATCACAATGAACTATTACAGTGTCACTTGTTACCACAGCATATTTTAAATCTGCTATATACAAGGCAGCAATTCATACTAAAATTTCTACAGTATAAAGTTGAAAGAATGGTTTTATCAATTTGAATGACTCAAAGTTCAAACTTTTGAGTCAGATTTCCTTCCTTTTATACACTTTTTACATTAAAAGATATAGATTTACAGAATTATTAGTTTCCATGTAGCCACAGCCACTTTGTCCTATTATGAACATCTTTTATTAGTCCCTACTATTTTTTATATACTTTTTCCTTCCTTCTTTACATGTCTTGTTAATATATAATTCTTAAGTGCTAGACATTTTATTCTTATTCTATATTGATATTCTTCAAAAATTTTGGAAAACACTACTAAGACATAGAGAACTGCTGTCTTCCCACAAAAAAAAAAATCTCAAATTATTTTTTTTCCAGTCAAAAGAAATACAGATTTTATACCAACAGTCCTTCAGGTGCCAGTGGGGCTCCACAAGTCCTGCCACGTGGAGTGGGCCTCCAGTGGTGTGCAAGGGTATGTGAATCATTATTGATTGATTGCTCAATTGTCTAGAAGCCAATGTGCTCCCCTTCCTTTTCCAGGAGAGGGCAGTGGCCAACAAAAGCCAGTCCATCCAATTGCCATCCCTGAAAATAATGTTCAACAGACCACTGAAACTTTAAACCTTAACACTCTTGTATTTTTCTTTCTGTTCAATACCTATGAATTTTTTTATATCATAGTTCAAATATGTCTCTTTCCTGTTTCATCATTCCCACTGTGTCTTCCATAATGTTTAAAATACTATTTTAAATTACATAAACACACAAGTGATGTATCAGTTTGCTTGGGCTGCTATAACAAACACCACAGAATGGGGTAGCTAAAACAACAGACATTTATTTCTCACAGTTATGGAGCCTAGGAAGTCCAAGATCAAGGTACTAGATTTTGCTCCTGGTGAGATTCTTCTTCCTGGCTTTTAGAAGGCTCATCTTGCCGTTTTCTCACATTCTAGGGTGAGGAGAGATAGCTCTTTTGTCTTTTTTAAGGGTAACAATAGGAGATCCACTTTCTTGTCTTAATCTAAATTTAGTTTCCTCCCAAAAGACCCAAGAGGGTCAATATATGAATTCAGGGGAATGGTGGGTTTCCACTAATGAATCTGGGGGAGGGTATCAACACCTGAATTTGGAAGCGGGCATAATTCAGTCCACAGCAGGTGGCAATGCCCTGGAGAGAGTGCTGAATTAAGAGGAGCTGTGAGATAGGAGGTCCCCAAAACTGGTCATACGAAGGACAGGAAGTGCCAGACTTAGGGAGCCACTGGGCTTTTCATCAAGGAACTGTCCTGGTGAAAATATGCTCCGAGGGGTTGTTCAAGGGATGGATACCGCCCCCCCCCCCGCCACATTGTAGTTAGGGCAGTATTGTAACAGTGCCTGACGGACTGGTAAAGATCCACATTACGATTGCAGTTCTCTCACCTACTACCGCCAGGAAGCCTTTCCTGATGCTTGCGGGGAAGCAGCATCTTTTTTCTAAACCCACATTTTACTATGTCGCTCAAAGCACCCTTGCATTTCCACCTTACATTTTACTTGTTGTTTTTGTCACGCCTTCCACTTGGCAGTTCCTCCCTTATTAACACAAGATGATAGAACTTGCGAGACAGCAACTGGGGGCAGCTTTCTGGGCTGGATCTCACGTGATCAGCAGCACGTCCCCAGCTCTTAGCCACTGAGACAGTGGCCACTGCAGACTTGTAGACTCCGTGCGAGGAGAGCAGGGGGCTTGGTCTAGTCTTCACGCAGGGTTCCCGGGCCGGCCGACCGCCCACCAGCGCCTCGGACCATGTCCTAGGCCGCCTCGCCAAGAACTGCGAGAGACTGGGCTCCCGCGGAGTGTGGGTGCATAAATTATTACCGATTGACTGCCCAAGTGTCTAGAAGCCGACACGCTCCCCTTCCTCCTCCGATGGGGCGGCCGCCAATCCAAAGCCAGACACGGCCGCCTTTTCTAGGAGGTTCATCCGGGGATGCTCACTAAGGCCCTCCCCAACTTTCGGGTTCTGAGCGTCTGTTGTGGCAGAATAGAGGCAATAATTGAGATCCATCAGAAGAACTAGGAAAGACGAAAATAGCTGCCTTACGTGTTTTGAACTCTGAGCGCCTACTCCTTTAAGAGAGTAGGTGGTGCTACCAGACCTCCGCCTCCCGGGGTTCCTTGCGCGGCGTGCAGCCCCACGAGTCCCCGCGAGGCAGGTTCACTTCCGGAGTGCCTGAGCGCTCGGCGGGAGACCGGCGTGCTTTTGCGTGATTGCTCCGCCCCTGTGGCCTCTGTTCTCAGGCGCTAGGGGTTGGAGTTCCCGCCAGGTCAGGGCTGGGCGGAAGCGATGCTGCCCGGCCCACCTCGGCTGTGAGGCCAGAGGAGCGTCCCAGACCCCTTTCAGTTTGTCCACGGCTTCGAATCTCGGACAGCCATGGCCACGGGGTTCTCCTTCGGGTCCGGGACTCTGGGCTCCACCACCGTGGCCGCCGGCGGGACCGGTACGGGTGGCGGTTTCTCCTTTGGGACCGGAGCGTCTAGGTAACCGCGCTTCCTTCCTCCCTCCTTTCCCGCGAGGCTCTCAGGTGCCCTCACTCCTCCCTTCCCACCAGCTTCCTTCCCGATGGCTCGGGGAGAAGCGCTCGCCGAGTCGCGGGCCTCCGCTCGCTGCCTTGTCCAGGCCCTGCGGGCGGCCTGCACAAACAAGGCGGTCTGGCCGTGTGCTGTGAGACCCCCTGCATCCACGGTGTCCGGACGTTGTTCTGCAGAATAGGGTCTGCCTGGGTGAAGGGGCGTGGGATTTCACTCCCACGCCTTAACAAAGCGTCAGTCTTAGGCATAGAATGAACGTTGAGTGAATGAATGAAATTATGGCGTATTGGGGGTTAGAAAGGTACAATGGAAAATTTTGAGTTTTTATTGCATTATTATGGATTTGGACGTTACCGCGGTTTTTTTTTTTTATGATTTTGTGATTATCTTTTCATGTAACGAGTAAGCTTTTATGCCATATCGGGATCCTGTCTGATTTTTTTTTTTTTTTGAGGCAGGGTCTCACTATGTAGTTTAGGCTGGTCTTGAACTCACTATGTAGCGCAGGCAGGCTTCGAACTCGTGCAATCCTCCTGTCTCAGCCTCCCAAGTTGTGGGCAGGGGGTGCGCCACCATGCGCAGCCTCTTCACATAAGTAATTTCTAGTAATAGTTGGTGGTAGTCATATTAACGTATCGTAGGTACAAATGTGTTGTAATGAATCATATTTTACGAAATGTAGGTACTATGTTCAACGTTTTCATGCAACCTACTGGTTGAGGTGGTGACAAAAACGTAAGCAGAGGAGGTCCAGAAAGAGACAAAATGGAGAGATCGTTTTAATGAGAGATTCAATCTTTGGAACTCAATCTTTTGAAGATAAAGATGAAGGAATTCATAAAATCAAGAAATGTGTATGCCATAAAATCAAAATTAAAGTAGTATTGTAGATCAAAAAGGCAAAAATAACTTGAACATTACCTGTATTTTGAGAAAGGTGGAAAGAAGAAAATTTCTAAAGATGAAAACAACAGTTGCAAATAAAGGGGGTGGAGGCTCCACACTACACAGCCAAGCCAGAAATCTAGATGTGTTCCACAATATTTTTTATTCTTTTATTCAACAGTTTTAATCAGCAAGTCCTAATAATTTTACTGGTGCAATTTCCATTTGTCTTCATTTCGACTGATGAAACACTGTAACATCCAAAACCATAATAATGCGATGGAATTTTTAAAAATTTACCACTCTGCTCCAAGGTATTGTCATTCCTGTAACAAATACTTGTTGGACAATTCCTTTGTTTTGGATGGTAAGATAAATCAGAGCCCAGCTCTCTTGGCACTTACATTCTTATGAAAGTACTTGATTCCTGTCAGGGTCCTGTCTGCCCTTTCTTGTTTTGGGTAAAAACTGCTCGCATCAACTCCTGCATAGATTAGTTCGTGTCTTAAACTCTGTTTTTACACTTTCTAGCCTGTGACTTAAAAAAACAAAACAAAACCATTGCTCTCCCTGCAATCATTTCTCACTGTCCTTAAAATGAAATAGAAAAAGATCCCAAAATCTTAAAAGGCCAGTGTAATCTGGGACATCTCCAAATCCATCTTGGGCCCATTTTTTCATTTTAGTGATCCTGACCTACTGTCAAAGAAATAACATTAATTGCTAAGTACATGTGCATAAATATAAGTTGAAAGTTTCAGAAAAAGATATTCATACTTCATGGGATACATTTTGTTACTTTTTTTTTTTTTTTTTGGTACCGGGGGATCAAACTCAGGACCTTGCAAGGCAGGCACTGGAACCACTGAGCTAAACCCCTGGTCCCGATTTTGTTACTTTCTTGGCTAGTCCTTTTCATTTTTAAAAATTCTGCTGTGACTTGCTGAGTTAACTTTAATACTCCTCTAAATGGTCCTAGTCTTAGTTTCAAAAGTACTACCCTAGCAACATAGTCTTTTCTCAGTTCCTCTGTGGCCTTGGCCAGTCCTTCCCCCCTTGAGGGCAGTTTCCTTGATTTACAGTGCCCCTACCTCCTCCTCCCTGTACCTAGCTAATTCCTACTTCCTTTTGGAACTCAGATATCTATAATCTCTTTCCAGAGAGGCCTTTTCTGACCTGCCAATCTAGGAGAGATTTCCATTCTCATAGTACCTGATAGTACTTGGCACATTTACCACATTTGTAACCAGTTTATATATTTATTGTTTACTTGTTGATGGTCTAACACCAGCCTTAGAATGTAATTTGTAACCAGTTTATATATTTATTGTTTACTTGTTGATGGTCTAACACCAGCCTTAGAATGTAAGCTCCATGATGGCAGAGATCTTTTCATACTGGTTTTCCAGTAGGCACGGTACCTGGAGTTTAGTATGTTTTCAGTGAGAGATGAATGATTAATATCTTTGCCTCCAGTTGTCTGGAAGCTTCAGAAGGTAGAGTCCGAGTCTTATTTACCACTCCATTCTCAGTTCGTAGGAACTGCTTGGTATAGAAAAAGATCTTTAATAAATACTTACTGAATGAGTAAGTGAATTATTAGTGATAAAGCAGAATTTACCTAAGCTTTAGAAAGGCTTGGATAAAGTAAAAAGGAGAGACAGTTTAACATGTGTCCACTGGGTGGTGGTTACCTGACTTTTTCAGTACCACTTGGTCATTTGGTTCCTTGAGGTAAATAATTTTGGGGAAGTTACTCTCCATGCTACAGTTCCTACACTTGGGAAAGGGATATAATAATATACACTGTATTTACTTCAAATTTGTTGAATCGTGTGAAGTATTTAGCATCAAGTCTGATACTTGCAAAGTGCACCATAAATGTAAGCTATTATGTTAGTTCCCACATCTACGTTAAGGCAGTCAGGGAAGTTCAAATAATTTGTGACCCCCTGGAGTAAATTTTGCTCTTCTATGACACATTCTATTATGACTTTGGCAGATAACACTGGATTGAGTGAATAATTGGTCAGGTCTAGAGTAGCTTTTGTTTTTCTTAAAGCAGTTATTCCACTTTAGTGTATTCCCTTGGTTAATATTTTCAACTTTAGGTAGCAGAATTATGCCTTCAAAATCTAAAAATACCCACTCTTCTAGCCCACATTATACACACAACAGATACAAAGTAACAGTATTTCAGATTACCACCAGTTAAGACAAATGTTTTTCCATGTTATTTTCTCTTTTTTTCTTTTTAGTTGTCTTCCGTGTTTTTTGAACATACAGCCATTTTATACTATGCTGCTTCTGTATAATTCTATTTTTAGGTTTGTAGTTTTTAAAAATTATAATCAACATCCTTGCTTTGTCAGCGAGACCTTGTAGTCTTACTGTGCCTCTCTGTGCTGTTCTTTTTTTTTTTTATTTTTATTTTTATTTTTTTTGTGCTGTTCTTTATACCCAAGGACTTCACACAAATTTTCATTTTTATTTATTTACTTATATTTTGGTTTTGTGAGATGGGGTCTCATTTAGTTCAGGCTGGCCTCGAACTCGCTACTCATGTAGTCCAAGCTGGCTTCAAATTTGTGACAATCCTTCAGCCTCAGCCTCCCGAGTGCTAGAATTATAGGCATACACCACCATGCCCAAATTCCACGCACATTTTTATTTTGGGGTGGGGACCAGGGGTCGAACTCGGGCAACAACACAGCTAAACCCTGGGTCCCTTCCACATGCATTTTAAAGCCAGTGGTGAACTAATGCAATATAGCATTCTCACTCCCTTTATCTACTCAGTGTTGACCCATCTTGGGTTCCAACTTCTTAATAAACTTCCCTGTCTCGGTGCTAATGACACTGATTAGCTCATTACCTAAAATTTCTGCAATATCTGAGTTCCATCATTTGGTACTTAATTATTTGCCTTATTGAAGGGTTGCATTTCTGCTACTTGAATCAGAGCACTCAATTTAGATGTCTAATGTGTGTAGAAAACTGTCTCTGGGTTGATTATGGAATTGATGGTACCTGGACTTAAGTAACTGTCTGGCTTGGATTGCAGTTATTTGTTATTTTATCCCCCATGCTCCTAGAATAAGAGCTATTTTAGTCAGCTTTGTATCCCTTTGCTATTTGTGGCATACTGTTTTATGTACATTGTGTTCATTTGAATTCATAAGTATTCCCAATAGCAGTAATAACAACATTATTGAATTTAATTTGCCCTGCATAATTTCTTTAAGAATCCTGGTAAGTAGGTATCATTGTGCTTATTTTACAGATAAAGAAATTAAAGCTCAAAAAAAAAAAAAATAATGTCATGTAATAACCAGCACATGGGGGTACTGGTACTGGAAATCAGCCACAACACTTCTGCCTCTTCCATACATTGAAACCTCCAGGGTTTTTAATATATTGGGGGAGGTGTTAATATTTTTAACATTAGGTTCTCTTGTAATGATTTATGTATTTATGGAGGGACACAGGGAATTAATAAATACATGGAATAATAGCATTTCCAATTATGTTGTGCCTGTTGTTGTCTGTTAACTCTCCTACATGATCTTTGAAGTGTCAAATTGTCAAAATTTTTGTTTATTTTCATAATTTATCCATTCCTCTGAAGATAGCAAATTTGAGCCTCTGAGGCTTGATAAGAACAGTTTTAAAGTTGTGAACTTTATTTATATTCACTTGTTTTTAGTCAGCTATCTTTTTAAGCTTTTCAGAAGCTCTCTGCAGAGAGTTTGTGCTGATTAACACATAATCTTGGCAGAGTAATTTTGCTTTGCTTTTAATTTTTGCCAGGATATGTTTACCACTCCCCATCCTTCCTAAAATTTTGCATTGGGGCGAGGCAAGATAGCATACTTCCCACTCCCATTCAAATGGTAATATACAACCGAGGGGTGGGAAAGACAACACAGAATAGCTTTTCTATTTGTTCCTATGTCTTTATATGAGTACTTGAGGGAACAACTGAATTTAAAACTGTGAACTGTACTTGAATAGTTTAAAAGGAAAATGATCCACATGTATAACATTCCTTATGGCCATTTTAAAATATATTAGGCTTTGAACAAATACCTATAAAAGCAGAATGTGTGTGATCCTTGCTCATTAAGTTGAGCTACAGACTGTGCTTTTCTTAAAGCCTGGTATTGTATTTTTTTTTTTTTTCCGTACTGGGGGATCAAACTCGGGACCTTGTACTTGCAAGGCAGGCGCTGGAACCACTGAGCTAAATCCCCCGCCCTGGTATTGTATTTTTTAAAGACTAATTTTACATTGGATTTAGAAAGAAAGATATTATAACTTGTTTGGTTAAAGGCAAATTTATCGTTACTTCCTTTTGGATCTTAGATGTGTTAGATATGTTATATAAAAGAAAACCCTAAAGAATTAAGTTTTATTTTTAAGTAAACGTCAGCTTTAGTAGACTTTACTTTTTTTTTTTTTTTTTTTTTTAAATAAGCACCCCTTCTTTGGGGCTCAATTTTGGAACTCTTGGAAGTACCACGACACCAGCAACTACATCTGCTCCTTCTGGTTTTGGAACTGGACTCTTTGGATCTAAGCCTGCCACTGGGTTCACTCTAGGAGGAACGAATACAGGTAAAAAGGATTGTCATATTAGGGGTAGACTTGGGATGTTTTTGGTTTCCATCTTATTATCTTCCTGTAAGAGATTGTCGTTAGTATTAGATCTAAAAAGGGAGTGAATACTAAGGTGAAAAGGATTCAGAGATTTGTAAATAAGATTGAATGATAAGCCTAGTCATCTGCCATGATCTATTCAAGTGTAAGGGAAGGAGGCAGTCAGTGTCTGTGTCTCTCTCTGTATCTCTGTCTCTAGCTCTGTCTTTCTCGCCATCCAGTAATTGAAGATCTTTTTCTTTAAATATAGTGATGTAAGGTAATTTACATTTTTTTATTGTATTTAATATAATACAGTGTTTTTCCTTTTCAAACATTGTTTAAGCCAACTTTACCAATTTGGAAGATTAACTAATGTACCATAGGTAGAACAGTTAGCATTTTTTTAGATGTTTTAAAATTCTGTATTAAAACCATTGCTTCAGTGGAAAAAGAGCAGGAGGTAAAGAACACAAAGGTTTCCGGTGGACATTTCAGTAATAGAAAGGGTTTTTTTAGTACTTAACAACTAAAAGAAAATATTTCACTGGCGATAACCATTTAAAAAGTTTGCTTTCTTATTTACATTTTATTCACTGTCCTCCAAGCCTCTTGACCTCTGTTGCCACTGTTGGCATTGACCTTCTGTCTCGAGCACAGCACTTTTCACAGACATACACAGAAAATAAAGAGCGAGCAGGGGAGCAGCTCTTAGAGATACTTCTGTGTGCCAGTGTTCTGTTTGTAGTACCTTTTTTTCCTCTTTGCTTAATTTTGTTATAAGCAATAATTGCTTACATTTCTAAACCTTATCCCCCTATTTTTTTTTTTTTTTTCCATCTTAAGTCATCTGTGGGTAAGGGCTGTATTCAGGATTTGAACTAGAACCATCTGGCTCCAGAGTCCACAGTCATTATGCAGTGTGTCTTCTCAAAATGCCCCTATTCTCTAATAAAACTGCACACAGTAATATGAAACCCAGTGCTCTAGGAAAAATGCTGGTGTGTGGGTTATGGTAGCAGAAGTCATGTATTGATCTTAGTAAAAGCATTATCACTCTCTGAGGGTGATTCCCTTATGATGAATCAAAAGAATGCCATATTCATTGATGTTTAAATTTTATTTCTCTTTTTGTCCCCAGGAATAGCAACAACTATAGCTTCAGGATTAACTCTGGGTAAGAAATTTTGAGGAAAGATCTCAGTGCAAATGAATTGAATGATCCTTCTATTCTTTTCTTTTTCAATATTTCACTGAACTGGGGTATAGAAGAAAGTATATAAAAAATTGAGTATAGATTTCAGATAGTGACTTTTCAAAGAAATTTTCAGAATTGATTAAAGAATACCTTTATATTATACACTATTAATTGAGAGAAGTGTTTTAAACACAGAAATAGCTTTTGATATGGAAGTTTATTTTACATTACTTTTTCAGTCATTTGACGTTTTAGAGGACCGGGCACCAAACTATACTCCAGAAGTCTTGGAATTAAGCACACTGGTTGTACCTCTAAAGTAGTTGTGAAGCCTTATAATACCAAGGAGCAAAACTTTTAGGGAAACTTGTAGCTGGGTGTAGTGGCGCATGACTGTAATCTTAGCACGCTGGAGGCTGAGGCAGGGGGATTGAAAGTTTGAGCCCAGCTTGGGCATCTGAACAACTTAGTGAGACCCTGTCTCAAAATAAAGGGCTGAAGATATAGCTCAGTATAAAGGCTGTGGGTTCAACCCTCAGTACCACTAGAAAACAAAAAACACCATTGTAACACTGAGGTGGGGGTAGCTTAGGGAGCATTTGCCTAGCATGTGTGAGACTGGGTTTCATCCCCATTACTGCAAAACAACAAAATTGAGAATATTGGACTAAGTTTTTGGATTCCCATGCAACTCACAAATATGTTTTTGCAGTGGTTTGCTGAAGGAAATGTGAATAACTAGGGTTTAAAGAAAGAATGGAAGGATATTGAAAAATCCTTAAAATTGAGATTAAGGATTTGAAGATTTTATCGATGGATACAATTTGCCTGATCAGCATACCTGTTACCATCACTGAAGTTTTAGACAAGATTGGGTACAATCTTCTTTTCTAAAGTTATTGGACCTGTCTGTGCATGTTTTTGAAGGATTGTGCTCTAGCAGGAACTTCTAGTTGTGATCGGGGCAATCCATCCAGAACCTAGCTTTTGACTGCTTCTCTTTCAGTGATTTCAGGAGAGATTCCAATGTAGGTCATTCATGGTTTTTTTTGAGACAAGGTCTCACTCTGGAAATCAGACAGCCCTTGCACTCATGTGTATCTCAGCTTAGCCTCAAACTCACGCCAATCCGCCTCCTCAGTCTCCTGGGTGCTGGGATTACTGGCCTGTGCCTGGTCCTCATTGATGTTTTATTTATTTATTTATTTTGCAGTACCAGGGATCGAACTCAGGACCTGGCAGGCACGGTGCCACTGAGCCAAATCCCCGGCCTGATGCATTTTTAAACTTAGTATTGCTTAAGCAGTTACTGCTTCCTAAGTATGTGGCTGTGTGCCTACAAAATAGCTTGAACATTCAATATTGGCTGTATCTGCAGTGGTATTGGTGATGAGGATGGTACTGATGATGATGTCAGGACCTGTTAAATGCATAAGCAAGACATTCATCTGTTACAAAGAGAAGGAGTCAGGCAGAATATTAACATGTAATCTATGTTAATTACTTCTGTCCTTGCTGAGACAAAATACCCAGCCCTGGAGATTAGGGGAGAAGGAGCTTATTTGGCTTATAGAGGTTTCAGTCCAATCAGCTGGTACCAAGACAGGGATGGCAAATAGACATTGCAGAAGAGAAACAATATGGCACGCACAAGGTAGCAAAAGTAACGAGAGCTTAACAGCATCCATCAGCCCCTTTTGTCTTATTCAGTGTACCAAGGTTAGGGTGGTACCATACTAATCACTCAACATGTAGTGGTTTAGTAATCACATTACCTTAACCCCAGCATCACACATTCCAGATTCAACTACCTTTGAAAAAGAAAGTCTCACCTATCTGCATGAGGCTTTGGGGGGGCATCTAAACACAAACCATAACATAATCTGATAAAGGACACTAACAGGCATAAGAAAGATACTGAAGGCAGAGGAGAGAGTGAGTTTATTTTGGGGGCAGGAGCCAATCTAGACAGAAATGTAGAAAGTGGAAGAGCCTAGCCACTAAAGCGTCCAGGAGAATATGTAAAATATTTGTTTTTGGGGCTTAAGATTCAGAGATGGAAATGGTTGTAAGAATTGAGATCCAAGGAGTTGGGACTGGACAAGAAGGGAGAATTATGTGCCTGGTGTTCAGAACTATTTTAGGGACAGTCTAGAGCTAAGGGAATTTTATGTTGAGCAGAATTACCAACATTTTATTGTTGTTTTTAAGGTAATTGAGATAATTCTAAGAATAAATAGAGGTTGGAGGACACTGACATAGACCCTGAGAAGCTGTTGTAATAGTTCTTGAGAGAGAGAGTGATGACCCAAGTGAAGGTTTTTGAGAATTTCTGTAATCCACAGATGTTTCTGAAGTAGAAGTGACAGGATTTGTAACTAATGAAATGCAGAGGAAGAGATAGGAAAGTTGTGGTTTCTTTTTTTTTCAGCAGTTGAATGGACCAAGATGGGTTTAGCAAAGTTGAGCTTTTTTTCTTTACTGTTATGTTTTTGTTTGTTTTGGTGAGATAAGTAGGAGTCCAAAGGGATATCAAGATAGAGCCAGTCTTCGGAGATTCAGGTAGATGTAGATTGAGATTCCTGTACTTGTAGTTGGGATGATGAAAGTGGATGAGATCATTGGAGAAATAAAGGAGCAGAAGTAAAACCCAGAAGAGTTTCATTTAAGATAAAAAGAATAGAGGTCGCAGATCTACAAATGAGGACTGGAAACAAGTAATAGGAGTAGGAAGAGAGCTGCCAGTTGGCAGACAGAGGACCCAGAGAAAAGAGGATTTCTAGAAGTAGAGAATGGTTATTTACATGGTCTTGGAGAGGAGGGACAGTTATTCTGCTGAGAGTAAAGAGAGAGAAGAAGTAAAAGAAATGCTCTATTAGGTAAATCTACGTGTAGAATTGAAATTGATCAAAATGTTATATTGATTGGGGTCATTTTTGCTTTTCTTAACGTAAACAACTATCTTTTCTGTATTTCTATATTTTTTTATCTCATCTATACATCCTTCTCTTGACAGAAAATAGAATCACAAATTTTTAGGAATTTTGACAGAAATTTGTGTGTGTGTGTGTGTGTGTGTGTGTACGTGTGTGTGTACGTGTACAGACATACATATATCTCATATATATGCTTAGGGTAAAATGAGATTTTTATTTATTTTTTAAAACAGGAACGCCAGCTACTACATCTGCATCCACCACAGGCTTCAGTTTAGGATTCAATAAACCGGCAGCATCTGCAACACCATTTGCTCTGCCTATCACCTCTACCTCAGCTAGTGGTCTTACTCTTTCATCTGCTCTGACATCAACCCCAGCAGGTGAGACAGAATCTGAGGTTGGATTTCACGGTTAAATTTCAATTTTACTTAGCGAACTTAGGTGTACATTTTTATTAAACATAGCTACATTTTGGGAAGCATTTATTTTAGTCATTCAGCAATTTTGACTTACCAGTTTATTGATTCAAAAGAAGAAAAGTAGGCATTGGTCATTGTGGCAGAAAAGCCTGTCTTGGAAGATGACCTCCTGTCGGAGCAAAACCAGGGCCCAGGGTTAGATAAGTGAAATGTAAAGCTGTTAAATTATTAATAGCGTTAACTTTCAAGGACTGTTTGGTGCCCAGGAAGCATAAAGACTGCGTAAGTATTAAGACTGTGTAAATTTTACCTGGCTTAGGGTTCATTTAATTTTGACAGTGGGTTTGGTACCTGGGTTGAAAATACCTTCTCGCTATCTGGAGTCAGTTACCTGGTACTAGTTTAAGTCTACTGCCCTGTCACTCATGTTCACTTTAAAGTTACTGCTTCTCTGTATTTTTAAGTCTATATGATTTTATCTTTAGCAAGTACTTTTTTCAAAGGTCAATTTTGACATAGAAATCAGTTTTTAAAAAAATTTTACTTGTTTTTTTCTATGGTATATTGCCTTTTTATGGCTTATGGTCTCATTTTTTTATAGCATCTACAGGATTTACTCTAAATAATTTGGGAGGAACGACATCTACAACTACAACTTCATCTACAGGCCTTTCTTTAGGGGGAACCCTAGCTGGTTTGGGAAGTTCACTTTTCCAGAGTACAAACACAGCAGCGTCAGGTAATTGGTAGTATTTATTCTCTAGGATAGTATTTATATTTAAATTTATGTTTATATTGTGGCTTTTTGAGTTAATCACTTTTTAATGCTGTATTTTAGTATAGTATATACAAATATATACAAGTATAGTATATACAAATATATTTGTAATTTTAGTATAAAAATTGAATTATACAATAATGTTTTTCATATATAATTGGATATTTTAGAAATATATTGTTTTCTCAGTATTGACTATTAAAGAGGGGATTAAACCTATTTTGAGTTAGAAAACTATTCCAGAGAAACTTGTCTTTTTAATAAATATCAGGTAAATAGTCTTGGAGGGGGTCAGAGTATAGCTCAGTGGCAGAGTGCTTGCCTAGTATTCATGAGTCCTTGTGTTTAACCCCCAGCACTGGTGGGGAAAGGTCCTAGAATGTTTGTAGCCTAAACTCATGGGAAGGCAACTTGTTAATCCACAATTCTAGGAATACTTGTTCATTATAGAAGTCAGGAAAGGGCACTAGTGTGCTTTTGAAAATTATTTTAAAATATAGACATCAAATCCTTTCATTATATAATTAGGCAAAATACTAAAGTATTCACAAGGCACAGTATACTAAATATTTTAAATCTCTGATTGATTTCTCATTTCATGCTCATTATGGTATTTGCTGCATTTTAAGGATTCTATATATGTTTTGGTATTTTTTTTTTTTTTTTTTTGCTACCGGGGATCGAACTCAGGACCTTGCGCTTTTGAGGCAGGAGCTAGAACCACTGAGCTAAATCCCCAGCCCTATATTGGGTATTTTCTATGGCTAGTGCCAGTGTAAGAAATTCATATTTTGAAAGCCAGTGGTTCTATGGGAGCTTGAAAAGCTTTCCTGTTATTTGAAGAATTGTATAATTACCTCACATAACAGTGTAAAATCAAAAAGTGCTGTTTAACAGTTTAGGAGAAGTTGATATATTGAAATTACAGAATTTCCAATATTTAGGTGATAGCGGCTATTTACTTTCAGAATTTTTGTGGAATGCAACAATATGTGTCTAATACTTGACCTAGTTGTATAGGAGAGATGAAGCAATGTGACTTAGTATTGTCTATTAAAGAAGTTATAGTTCCTTTTTTGTCCTCTTATTCAGATACGAAGTTGATGAAAATATCCAAGTCATCAGGGATGAAAAGACATGGGCCTGGATAGAAATTTTTGGTGTTCAAATTTGTGTTAATCTACAGATTCTAATTTTTGTCATTGTCTAATTTTGTAGGTACTCAAAATGCCTTGTAATAACCAAATCATGAGATGACTATAATGTACATTTCTTTGCAGGATGAAATTAAATATCTCATAAAAATTCCTATAAAAGCAAAAATAATAGAAAAGAGAGGCAGAGCATCAGTTTGTCTTTTTCTTCAGTTTTTAAATGTACTTGGATTCTTCTTAAACTCGTGACGTAGTATTCAGTGCTTATTTTGTGCTTACATTAATTTAAAGTTGCCATTGATTTTTTTAAAGAAAATTATTGTAAGTTGAGTATTCCTTTCCAGAAATGCTTAGAGCCAGAAGTGTTTCAGATTTTTTTGAAGTTTTTCAATTTTGGTATATTTACATCGATGTTATCAGTTAAGCATCAAACAATATAGAATGCTCAAAAGATTTCCGATTTTGGAGCATTTCAAATTACGGATTTTTTGAATTCGGCTAAACTGGTGTAATAGTAGTTACTTATTTAGCTGTGTTTCTGTCACACATTTTCAGAATTTAAATCTAGTTTTCATTTGTCCCATGCTATCAACTAGTATTTCTTCTGCTTTAAAAATAGGTCACATCATCATGAAGGTGTTATCTAAATGAACAGTTGTGTCGGCTTAGAAATGGTGCGTTTATAAAAATACAGGTTTATAAACATAAGCTCTCTAAAGTTTTGCTACTTAACTCACAAATGCACATTAATGACTTATGATTATTAACTGTAGTCCTTTTGACTCCTTTTGCCAGTGAGGTGAGATTGAAATAAAGGCAATTTCTTTTTTAACTAAGTTTTCTGGAAAGAACTTTGGAGTATTTAATTGTACTGAATGTATATTATACATAAATCTTATAAATTCACACTACATTATTTTAAAATTTGCAGTTCCCAAATATGGTTGGAAAATAACATGTATTCACTAGAAAATATATGAACTGAAACTGCTCTTATAGAAAAAGTTTAAAAATAACAAAAATTGAATATCCCCATTTATCAAATTAACAAATACATCCTGCCCCTTTTAATAATGAAACATCACATCGTCCAGAATACTTATTACCATTGAATCTAAGCATGATTATCAGTCTTTGCCAAAACCATTCTCCAGACTTGCCCCTTACTTGCCTAAATCAAGTATAACGAAACTCTGGGACCTGACTTAAAAGTGTTTGAGTGCTCTAGTCAGTTAGGGAAAATTGTTCATAAGTCTTTCAGTGGAATTGGTAAATGTTGTTTGGTATATTTGCAGGACTTGGACAGAATGCTTTAGGTTTGACTTTGGGAACGACAGTAGCCACTTCAACTGTAGGCAATGAAGGCCTTGGTGGTATAGATTTTAGTAGCTCATCAGATAAAAAGAGTAAGTATATTATTATAATTTTATCTTCTAACAGTACTGTTAGGGAACTTCCAGGTTATTCAAATTTTCTATATCTGAAAGATCACTAGTTATATATTCAATAGGACACTTCACTTTTAAGTTTGTTTACATCATTAATATTTCATATACCGTGTTGAGCATTTAAAGTTTAGTTTTTATACATCCCTTAGATTTGTGTAAGTCTTATGTAGCTACCTTGATGTATGTATTAATATGTATTTTAAAATTGGGATCATGATGCATATATTTTATAATCTGTTCTGTAACCTATCAGATGCATTTGTCAGTGTTAGTAATTTGTGTTAGTAATTCAGTGAGGTGCTTGTTTCATTTGTTTTACTTTGGAAAGGAAAGAGAGTTAATTTCCCTTTTCCTTTGCCTCTCTTCCCATCACCTTGCTTTCATGGTATACATAAGCTGGAGTTGAGCAAAAAGAATAAAGTATACATGCACCACATCCCACTTCCCTTTAATCTCGTAGATCTGACAAAGGAATCTTTGTTAATCTTAGGGCAGTCTCTTTTTCCTACTAGCTGTATCAGTTAACTTTGGACCTGTGGTATCAGTGGGATTTAACCAGATAGCAATAGAAAATAGCATTTGGTAGAGAGGTATAGCAAGGAGCAAGGCCTAGGGATGAGAAGGGCTTGGCCTTTTTGAAAAACTAATAGGTCAGTATAGCTAAAGATTAGCTCCTGCATATAAAGATTATATGCAGAAAGATTAGGTTCCAGGGGTCATGTTTTAGATGACGTAATTGAGTTTTGTCATTGTACTGAAGACAATTGGCATCTGCAAAAAGGTTTTGATGAGATTTATATTTTAAGATTAAGAGTATTCTGAGAGCCATCTGGAAAGTACAATAATTGCAGAAAGGCAAGAATAGGCTTGGGGAACCATTAGGAAGCTTTTGTAGTAGTCCAGATGCAGTACTGAGGCAAAACCAGGTAGATAAATCCAGTGGTCTATGGTACTCTAGAAATATAGGTCCAAGTTGCACACGTTTGTTTGTACATAAATACATAAACATAAAATACAATGTAGAAATGAATTATCAAGAAGATAGTGAATTAGCTTAAAAATGAATTATTTGATAAAATTAAATCTGTTTTTATTACCATGTCCTATCAAATCTCATATATTATTTGTGAGGTTGCCAATTTCAAAAATTTTTAAATAAGGAAAAATTTTAGAATCAATGAAGTATTTCATATTTTTATGAAAACAGTTATAATCTGCTGGAAGAGGTAAAAAAGTGAAACTCCTTGTACAAAGATGAAAGGCAAATGATGATTAAAAGTAAAATACTTGAGCCTGCCTGGCAAGTGCCAAGGCCCTGAGTTCAATTTCCGGTACCAGAAAAAAAAAAGTAAAGTATTTGCCAGACATGGTGACATACCTGTAATCCCAGTTACTCAGAGGCTAAAGCAGAAGGATCACAAGTGAACTAAGTGAACTCTGTCTCTAAAATAAAATATAAAGAGCTGGAGATGTAACTTAATGGTAGAGCACTTGCCTCGCATGCACAAGGCTCTAAATTCAATCCCCAGCAGTGCCTCCATGCCAGACTAAAATACTTCATTTTCAGATGCTTATTTCCTGACATTTCAACATCTTTAAAATCAAGATACATTTTACATGGGCCTGATTTAAAAATAGACGCATGATATATCTATATGAGACAATTCTTTCACTTAATGTTGAAATAGCTCCAGAAATTAATAAGAAAAAAATCTCAGAACTGTACAGATACATGAGCAGGCTGTTCACAAAAGAAGAAACACATTTATCTGATGAACATTTGAAGAGAATTTTTTACTTCACTAGCAGCATGTGAAATAAGCATTTAAAATTACGACGCCGGACAGGGCCACCTTCCTCTGACGACAGAGCGGCGCCCACCTGAGAGGCTGAGGGGAGCAGGAGGAGGTGGTGGCGGCACCGGCAGGAAGATGCTGCTCATTGGCGTAAATTGCAATCGATTAGGGATCGTTTCTCAGACTCAAGTTAGAAGTGAGATTTCAGATAAGTGAGCACACCGTTGCTGCTTTGAACACCTCAGAAGGGGAGAATGGATTTATCAGAAGTGAAAAAGGAGCTTGCTAGGAGTCAACGAGAATAATAAAAAGTCCAGCACTAGGGCTCCTTCTACCAAACGCAAGGACCGCTCTGATGAGAAGTCTAAGGATCGCTCTAAAGACAAGGGGGCCGCCAAGGAATCTAGTGAGAAGGACCGCGGCAGGGATAAGACCCGCAAGAGGCGCAGTGCTTCCAGTGGAAGCAGCAGCACCAGGTTTCGGTCCAGCTCAACTTCCATTTCAGGCTCCAGCAGTGGCTGCAGTACCTCTTCAGCATCCAGCCGTTCTGGAAGCTCCAGTACATCCCGCAGCTCCAGTTCCAGCAGCTCCTCTGGCTCTCCGAGCCCTTCACGGCGCAGACACGACAACAGGCCACACTCCCACTCCAAATCCAAACCACCTGAAAGATGAAAAGGAGAGGAAAAGGCGAAGCCCTTCCCCTAAACCCACCAAAGTGCACATCGGGAGGCTGACAAGGAATGTGACTAAGGATCACATCATGGAGATATTTTCCACCTATGAGAAGATTAAAATGATTGACATGCCTGTAGAAAGGATGCATCCTCATCTATCCAAAGGCTATGCATATGTGGAGTTTGAGAATCCAGATGAAGCAGAGAAAGCACTGAAGCACATGGATGGAGGACAAATCGGTTGTCAGGAGATAACTGCTACTGCTGTGCTGGCCCCTTGGCCTAGGCCACCCCCCTGACGATTCAGCCCTCCCAAGAGAATGCTACCACCACCTCCCATGTGGCGCAGGTCACCCCCACGGATGAGGAGAAGGTCACGCTCCCCAAGACGCAGGTCCCCTGTATGCAGGCGGTCCCGTTCTCCTGGCCACCGCCGCCATAGGAGCCGCTCTAGCTCTAATTCTTCCCGATAAGCAAGACTACCGAAGCTCGCTCTTGTAATTTATGTCCCAGTCAGCTCAGTTTTGTCACTTCTGTAGCATAATGAGCAGCAGAAGAGGATCCCTCACTCAGGCAGACTTCAAAGGCAGCAATGGAGAGACGTTCTTCAGGCGGGTTCTGGCTACAGAGGTGCTCTTGGTTCAGGGCTGTGCCCATAAATGCACCCTGCATTTTTCTGTCTAGGAAGCTCACCATTCACATCTCATGAGTCTGTTCAATGGCAGAGCCTGTAGGAACAAGCAAGCCTGCAGGTGGCAGATGCCCCAGCCTTTCCAGATGACTTGGGGGCAGTCTGGCGATCTGATCATACCTTGGGGACCAATTCACCATTCTCATTAGACCTGGCCCTTTGATCCCTGCTTGAGTCCTCTTCCAGCCTCTAGGATCAAACACCTAGAAAGACCCCCGTGCCCTGTGTTAGTTGTCATAATGGTTCTGTCTTTCTGTGTTCTCACCTATACACCCACCCCGTTTGTCTTCTTGACTCTCAAATGTTGGTGAGCAATTTGAGAACCAGCTTTGCAGGTCACCATGGAGCCCCCCCATTTCACCTGCCATTCATGGTGGTCTTGCAGGTTACGTGGGCAACATGTACATTGCTTTTTTGGCTTTTATTGTACAGTCAGTGCTATAAAATTTGAGTTTTGTAACTTTGTAGCATTTTAGATAAGGTTGTGTTTGTTCTTTGTTGTGTAGAGTAAAGGAATTGTATTGAATAAACCTAGGATTAGAATGCAGATTGAAAAAAAAAAAGAATTTAAAATTACAATGAAGTGGCATTTTTCAGTTACATGACTAGCAAAGATGTATTTTAAAACTATTATGTGCATTGTTTAGGGAGTGCTTCCAGAGGTACTCTTACTCATTGCAGATGGAAAGGTAAAATGGGACAGCTGTTATTAGGGATTGTTAGACTGGAGTTCGGGTAATTTGACATTATAGTATTTGATCCTGATAGGCCCTTAGATACAAGCTCTCCAGAGTTGAGCTAATAGGCAGGATTATAAACCCCATATCAGATATTTTCTATGGAAGATAGTTGAGAAGAAAAGATTCTTGTTCTTGAAAGAAATAAATGCAGGGCCAGGGATTTAGCTCTGTTTCCACTGCCTGCCTTGCAAGTACTAGGTCCCGAGTTCGATCCCTGGTACCAAAAAAAAAGAAATGAAAGAAATAATTGCAGATCAGCTACATAAGCTGTCTACTTATTTATACACATGTCTCCATGATATTGCTGTGTTCTAAGTTTATGACAGTCAAGACATTGCAGAATGTTGTGGGTTTTTTTTGGTACCGGGGATCGAACTTGGGCCCTTGTGCTTACAGGGCAGGCCGCAGAACCACTGAGCTAAGTCCACGGCCCACATTGCAGAATGTTTTAAGAGAGAATTGCTTTCATTTATATTTATACCTTTTGTTAATTTAAAACATATTTAGAATACATTGTTAAATTATCTATTTATTCATGAAGTTTCTTGAATTTTCTAGGTGATAAAACAGGAACAAGGCCAGAGTAAGTATATAACGTAATATATTTTGCTTAAGAGTTTTACATATTAAATTTTAGACAGATGTTATAGTTGAAAGTAAATAGAAACGCTGAGCATGGTGAAGCACACTTGCAGTCTCAGCACTCAGAAGGCTGAGGCAAGAGGATCGTTGTGACTTCCAAGCTACATGGTGAGTTCAAGGCCAACCTGAACTACAGAGCAAGACCCTGTCTTAGAAAAAAAGAAAGAAAAGTAAATATGATCAAGTACACATTTAGCAGAAAAACATTTTTTAAACTAGTGTTTATTAAGAATAAAATAAATATGTTTTAGAAAGATTATGAAAGGTCAGATCTTCAATTTTTAGTTATTAAGATTTAAAAACTATTTCTAGGTAAGTAATTGGCATTTCTACAAATAATACAAATAAGTGCAAAATACAGTGTATTTGTTGTTGTGAGGAGGTGCTAGGTATTGAACCCAGAGCCTTGTGCATGCTAAGCATGAACTCTACCACTGAGGTGTACCCACAGCCCTTAGAGCATATGCATATATAAAAATCATGCTGGTATGCTTTTAATTCCTGATGTCTTCAGTGAAGACAGTAGCTTCTGTATATGTTGTATATAAGCGTGAAGATGATCATTATTTTTATTATCAATTACATTTTCTCATCTAATTTGTATTACATTAAATAAAACATGTAAATAAATGATCAAGTTGAATCCTCACAAACATCTTGTGTATGTTGTAGTTTTATTTCAGATTACATCTATTATACAAAATGCTTAGGTCACAAAAAGAATTTCAGAATGTGGAGTTTTTGGATTTTGGAATTTTTAACAATAGAATTTACAAGTTGAGCATCCCTAATCTGAAACCCCAGAACTTTAAAAGTTTAAATGAAGAAGCTGAGAGAGACTGAGAGCTGTCTAGAGTTTTGTATCTTAACTTGTAATTCCATTACAGCAGGCCAAATTTTAGTTATCCTGTTCTCATTATTTGTGATTCTCTTAAACTACATCTCTCAGTCCTATTTTTCCATTCCCATGTGTTGAAGAACAAATTAAGGTTACAGTGAAATGTTTTGATCATCTCATGACAAATTTTACAAATTTTAGTACAAATATTCCTCATTTAACACCTATCTTTTCAATAAGTATTTGAACTTATGTTCTACTCCTTGGATTTAAGACCGGTACTCAGACTTAAGACACAGGAACGTGAGCAGCAGTGTGGCCTTACGGTGGCTTCTTGAGTACAGTACAATATGGTACTGTAATTTTTGCTGATTGTCTTGTACAGTACTGTAGTTTTATGTTCTCATATATTACAGTACTGCCTGTAAGAGTTATGCAAATAAAAGCAAAGTTATCAAGTTGGGGTTTCTTTTGACCGTTTCTTTGTTCTGAATATCTTTTGGGGGTACTTGGAATTGAATTCAGGACCTTGTGCTTGCGAGGCAGGCGGTGGGGCACCACTGAGCTAAATCCCCAGCTTGGTTTTGAATATTATAATGTACATACTATATAAAATTCTTCATTTAGCTACTAATTTATTTAATGACCTAGTCCAGGGATGGAACTCGGTCTTTAAACAAGGAATGTCTATAAATGCTTTACTATTTTTGAACCGAAGAAAATATCAGAATCTTTGAGCCAGAGGGAAAACTTAGTTCTACATCTCATTTGTAATGTTTTGATTTTTTTGCTTAGACATTTAGTTAAATGCTTATAAGTGTATTTATAATAAATGTCAGTCTTACATAAGAAATCTCAGTGTCAAATATGTTGTGAAAATTATTTTGTAGATCAAGAAATTTATTTTTTTATAAAGAAATTTGAAATCATCCAATGAAGCTGTGAGTTGGGAATATTTGTTATATTTTCTCATATCTTAACATACTCTTAATAAAACCAAGTTGTCAACTTTTATAAATCTCACTGGTATTAATATACTTGTGGCTTTTTTCTTAGGGATAGTAAAGCACTGAAAGATGAAAATCTACCTTCTGTCATTTGCCAGGATGTTGAAAACCTCCAGTAAGTGTCGAATACAATTAGATAATTAATACTAGAAGAATTCTAGAATACATTATAGGAGGAACATCTCTTCCTTCTAAACATTTTAACTGGTTAAAATTTTAATTCTTTTAAAAATCAGAAATTAAAAATCAGGAATTAAAATTGTGTAAAATGTGAGTTAATAAATGTTTTAGATTTTTTTTTAGGTTGGTATTATAACATTTATTAAAATAATGCTATGGGTTAATAGAAACAGCAGAGAACCAAAGAATTAAAATGCAAGCTATGTAAAGATTGTTTCTTAAAACACTTAGACTTTGACAAAAAGTATTTTAAATGTTTTTTTTCTGTAGAAGACTGATAGTGTATTTTTTTTTAAAATGAGTTTTATTTTTTTATAGGAAATTTGTGAAGGAACAAAAACAGGTTCAAGAAGAAATTAGTAGAATGTCTTCAAAAGCAATGCTTAAAGTACAAGAAGATATTAAAGCTCTGAAACAGCTTCTGTCATTGGCTGCCAGTGGATTACAAAGAAACACTCTCAATATTGACAAACTGAAAATAGAAACTGCTCAGGTATACTGACTTACAGCCATTCTGCCATGGGATAGGATTTTTTTCTAAATTGGAAATAGAAATTTATTTAATTATTAAATTTGATACTATAAGAAAACCAGGTACTTCATATACTTTTAAATTGCCATCATAGTTATTAGTTTTTAATGAGTGTTTATTACTCACAAGACAGTATTCTGAACAGTTTATAGCTATTACCTAGTTTAGTTTTCATGACAGCCTTTTGAGATAAGTACTGTTATCCTTATTACATAAATAAGAAAACAGAGGTAGATCTGGGGATTTAGCTCAGTGGTGCCCTGCCTGCCTGGCAAGTGGAAAGTCCCGAGTTCAATCCTCGGTACCAAAAAAAAAAAAAAGAAAACAGACAGGGAGGACTTTGTTAATAAGTTGGAAATCCTTAATTCAGATGCTGGTAATCCAGCTTTAGAGTTTATTCCCTTAACTACTTTTGTCTCGTAAGAGTATCTGCTAGCTAAATTGATCTTTTATACAAGAGGAGGGATACCTAGCCAGAAAATATTTTGTAACCTGTCAGTTATTAAATAGAAATTAAATGCTTTATAGATATTAAACTGGATGACTTGGGGTCCTAGATAAGATTTTAGTTAATAAAAATAATAATGAGCCTAGTATCTTCTGTCGCTTGTGCCTACTTGTTTTTCCCCCTCTTGCATAATACATAATATTTACTGAATATAATGTATAGTGAGGAGGAAAAATGATAGATGATTTACTTGTAATTTATTTAAAAAAATTTTTTTTGTATTGGGGATTGAACTCGGGTCTTTGCACTTATGAGACAGGCGTTGGAACCACTGAGCTAAATCCCTGGCTACTTGTATTTTATGTATTGTAATTAGAAAATATACTTGATCTCATCACAAAGGTATAGACGCCCTTCCCTAAAATTATTCCTGGCCGGGTGTGGTAGCTCAGGCCTATAATCCCACCACTTGGGAGGTTAAGGCAGGAGGATTGTCACAAGTTCAAGGCCACCCTGGACTACATAGTGAGTTCAAGGACAGCCTGAACTACATAGTGAAACCCTGTCTTTAAAAAACTCCCAAAAAGAAAAATTGTTCCTGATCCGTTAATAAATTTGATGTGATAACCCTTTTTCCTATGGGTTTATCAAAGTGCTGTTCTCATCATAAATGAAATGATAATATTTTAACTAAAAATTTTAAAGGCACTTATATGTATTTTTGGAGAATACTCTGATCTCTTGCAAATTCTCTGGTTGAATATGAATATCCTCCTTGTTTCCTTCCCATTTATTTTTCCTTTTTCATCAGTATCCTTTAGATGGGAGAATAGGCTCCGATTAAACATTACTTGAATTTATAAATTTCATGTGTAAAATAAGTTATAAATAAATGACAATTAGCAAAATAATGGAGGAGTTAAACTTGAGAGAGAAACAATCACTATATAGGACCTATTGTAACTAAAATTAGATTATTCCATTCACAAATAATGAATGTGTGGAGTCTCTAATACGTAGTAAACTTGTTAGTTGTGTTTTATAGATAAGAATCAATAGAGGGCAAATGAAATAATAGATTTAGATAGAGCATGAAGGTGGTAAAGAAAGAAGAGGGTTAAGAATCAAAGTATCCTTAAGGAAAGAAAAATTTGATCTAAGATTACTCTTAATTTCCAATATACAGAAGTTGGTACTCTACCCAGAGTCTAATATTGCAAAAAGTGTTGTGAATCCCTTGTGAAATTAATAATCTTATTTAACCACAGACATTTTCTTTAAAGCCATTCTGGGAAATAATAAGCAATATTATGGTGAGGACTGGTGTATACAGAAATCTTATAGAAGCCAAATCTCTTTTATATACCTCATTTTTGGGGTAATTATCTCAAGTTTAACTAAGTAGGAGCATTCATTCTTATTTTTGTATAGAGTTGGTGCCAAATGGCTTAATATGTTATGTGTATTCAATAATGAAATTGAATTTAGTTGTCATGTCATTCAGTGAATATTTTTTTAAAGCCTATGTTCCAGGCCCTTGAGACATTAGGAATCAAAAGATTTATTCTAGGTAGAGAGTAATGTTCCATTTACAAGGTATGGTAGGGACACAGAGGATTCAAGTGGGCATTTTTTCATCTATACAGAGTAGGGTATCTTCATGTTGAATAGAAACGTGTGTCGGCATTCCCCAGCAGGGAGGAAGGAAAGAAGGCTACGAAGCATGTCATAGGTAAGCATTGTAGTATGAAGGGAGTCGGCCTGGCAAGAGCCAGTGCTTAGAGAACTGGGCAGGTGTCAGTCTTGAAAAATCCAGACTTTTTCAGGGCATTTGTATGACAGTTGGTGGATGGAAGCTTGAGTTCAAGAGTAAAGAAGGAAGTGCAAATAATAGTAACACTTAGGCAGTTTAACACATTCACGAGCCATAATTTAGCTGCTGGGTGGCTTGGACCACTTGTTGAATATGTATGCTTTTTATTAATTTTATTAGTAAAAAGACCAATAAAAGTGATTAGATCTGTTTATACCACCAGTGGTATAAGCTGTCCAATGGGACACTCATTCATGTACCACCAAGTAGGAGGGAACATGTTAGTGAGGAAAATATGCTTCAGGGCATATAAAGTTAAAGTACTGTTTTTGAAAATAAAGGGTACATAAGTAGAGGTTGAAAAAGCAGTGAAATGATAGGAATGTGGAATGTGAATTGGTAGGCTAGAATATTAGTCATGAAAAACCATTGAGTAGAATTTAGACATGGCATTGAGGAATCTAGAAGGCAATATAGGAGTGGTTCAGTGTGAATGCTCTAAAAGAATTGGGCTGCCTCTGTTCAGGTCTTGGGTCTTCTAGCAGCATGGCATTGGGCAGTTATGTCTTGTAACTCCATTTCTTCAGGTGTAAAAAGTAAAACATTTCCTAATGGTTATTATAGAGGGATAGTCAAGATAATGTAAGTAAAGCCTTCAGCCGAGTGCTTAGTACACAGGAAGTACCTGGAGGGTAATTGTTACTGGCATCAGTTTCAATGTTGATGTATCTGGTTGCTTTTTTAAAAAAGTGCTTTCTGCATTTGTATATTAAAGATTTTTGGAGAGTAGCATACTCTTTTTACTGTGGAGGAATTAATTTTGTGAATTTTAAAAAAACCTGTAATTTCTTAAAGTATATCAACCATTCAGTATAGTTTTATCATAGAGTTTGTTAAAAGTTTACTTTGTCGTTTCTTTTTTTTCTTTTTTTCCTTTCTTTTTCTTTTTTTTTATTGCTACTGGGGATCAAACTCTGGACCTTGTGCTTGCGAAGCAGGGAGCGGAACCACTGAGCTAAATCCCTGGCCCAGTTTGTTGTTTCTTGAAAGAAGTTTTAGAGACGTAAAAAGTAGCTTTATCCATACTGTTACTAAAGCATAAAATTTCTGCTGGTATTGTTTGAAATGTCAATCCAGAGATAGTTGGCATTTTTGGTATACTCTTAACTGTTTTTGTTGTTTTTCAAACTTTTTGGTATATTAGGAGTTAAAGAATGCTGAAATAGCTTTAAGAACCCAGAAAACACCACCTGGACTCCAACATGAAAATACAGCTCCTGCTGAGTAAGTTACTGGATTTTTAGAAACAAATATTTCTCATTTTAAGATAGCAGAACAAGCTCTAGAAATATAACTCAGAGGGAGAATACTTGTCTAGCATATGTGAAGTTCTAGCCTCAGAATTTGAAAAGAAACCAGAATGGTAATAATAATGAGCAAGCTAAGAATTTTTAATTACTCTGTGGAAAGGCTTTGTTAATTAGAACTTTACATGGAATTTTAAATTTACTTCTAATAACCCCAAGTTGATAGTTTGTTATCCCTTTTTACTAAAGGGTTAGTGAAAGCTAAGAACTGAACTTTTAACCACTGTTACACAGTTAAACTTCTTAAATATTACTTAGAGGGTTTATTCCATTTATTCCATTTTTTCATATAATAGAAATAAATTTTTACCCATTAAAACTTTCAGATTAATAATTTTAATAGTTCTATCCTTTAAGCATACTAAATATAGTTTAACCCTTTCACTTGTTTGTATAGCTTTTTTTTTTTTTTTTTTTTTTGAGATAGGGCCTAGACTGGCCTTGAACATACAAGGATCCTCCTACCTTAGCCTTCCCTTGTGCTACCACACTGACTTGCATAGCTTTTATTTACATAGGCAGTACATGTTCAGGAATAAAAGTTAGAAAATGTAGATAAGTAAAAGAAAAAACTCACTTACCATTGCATCACTTAGTTTGTATATCCATCTACTTTCTATATATATGATATAGATTTTGTCTTTCACTTTTGGTGTTTTTTTTGTTTTTTTGGTACGGGAGATCAAACTTGGGACCTTGCGCTTGTGAGGCAGGCGGGGGAACCACTGAGCTAAATCCCCGGCCCCTTGTCTTTCAGTTTTTTGAGACAGGGGTCCCACTATGTAATTCAGGCTGGCCTTTAAATCATGGTGATCATCCTGCTTTAGTACTAGGGTTACAGGCGTTTGCCACTGCATCCAGCCAGCTATCTTTGTTTTTATATCCTTCCATGTTGATAAAGAAGAGATAGCTGATACATGTCAAGTGCTTATTTTTTTCTAAACAGTGTGATCTGTGCTATCATACTTTACCTCATACCTTTTACAACTCCGGGATGGCTGTTCCTCCAATTTTAGCGATGGGGATCCACAAGCATGTAGGAGGTGAGTTGTGAGTGGTAGACATCCGTTTGACTCCTGATTCCTCACATTTTTCTCTTTTAACTTTTTGTTATGATGCTATTTCAAACTTGAAAAGTTTCAAAAATAGAACAAAAATGTCCTGTGTACCGCTCTACATATTAATGTTTCTACCGTATTTGTTTTTCTCTTCATTTATGTATATAAGGATGTTTTTCTACCTGAACAGTTTCGGTTATTTGCAGACAGTGCACATTATGCCTAAGTACATTAGTGTGTATTTTTAAAAAATAAGAGTAGACTCTTATATAATAGTATAATTACTAAAATCAGGAAATCAGTAACAATGACAATCCTGTATCTTATTCAAATTAGCATGGGATGGGCTTCCTTGATGGACTTTGTCTAGTAATTTATCCCCATGTCTTGTTCTTCACACTGTCAGGAGAGCTGATTTTGCAAAAAAGCTTTCACAGTTGCCCATTTCTTACAGGAAAGTGTTCAGATTCCTTTTGTTACTGAAAGAACTGTAGGTACTTGGTTATAAAATCTGGTTGACAGTTGAGTTTTTTAAATTAACTTTATTTCAAACTTTAAACTTACAGAAAACCTTAAAAAATAGTGCAAAGAATTCCCTAATAACCATAAATCTATAGTATAATTATCAACAACAGGAAACTAGCCCTCATATGGTGTTACTAAACCATAGAACCTACTGGAATTTTACTGATTTTTTTTTCACCTATATATATATTTTTGTTCCAGAATCCTACTGGATTGCGCTTATTTGTGGATTTCTTCTTAGTCTCTTCCTGTCTGTAATAGTTATTCAATCTTGTCTTGGATGATCTTGTTACTTACGAAGACTTAATCATGTTATTTTGTGGACTAGCCTTACTTTGGGTTTATCTCCCATGATTGGAATAATGATTTACAATGTTTGGGTTTTTTGTTTCAGTGATAATATCTGTGGCATATGCTCAAACTAATTTGAAGAGTCTACTCAAGATAGGACATTTATTTATTTGGTATTTTGAATATTTTAAAAAATTTGATCTTTTTTGATGTGTTTATAGCTATTTCAGAATCTTGGTTCAGCAGTTTGAGGTACAGCTTCAGCAGTACAGACAGCAGATTGAAGACCTAGAAAATCATCTTGCCACTCAAGCAAATAATTCACATATAACTCCTCAAGGTAACCTGCTTACTCTGATTGGGTTTTCTTTTTGTTTTTTTGGTACCAGGGATCAAACTCAGGACCTTGTGTTTGCGAGGCAGGTGGCAGAACCACTGAGCTAAATCTCTAGCCTATGATTGAGTTTTTGATTAGTACTGTTATTTTATTGGTGAGAGAGATTAAATCATGGTTGTGTAGTAGGTATACAACTACATATAGCAAGTTGTCTTAAATAGCTTTAAGAAAAATTTCCTTAAAAGTCATTGATGAAATCTTTATTTCTTGTAAATAGAAAATGCTTTCTTAAGAAGTTACTGTGGTAACAAGGGCAGAAATCCTAGGCCTTCCCCCTTCTCAGATTACTATTTTAGTATATGTGCTGCCAACGCGGGCACCCTTCTCAGATTACTAATGCAGACATTCTTTCAGTCTTTTCAGTCTGCTGTCTTCTCTAGCTGGCCATAGGAGCATTGCTGGAGGGTTTTTTGTCATTGTTTTGTTTTCCTCCTACATAATAACTTTTTTTTTTTTTCTCCTACCGGGCATTGAACTCTGGTCCTTGTGCTTGCGAGACAGGCAGCAGAACCACTGAGCTAAATCCCCGGCCCACCTACATATTAACTATACTCAAAATTGGACTTGAATAATAGAAAAGTAAAATTGATTGTAATGTATTTGTGATAATATAATTTTCTTTTATAGATTTGTCAATGGCTATGCAGAAAATATATCAAACATTTGTAGCTTTAGCTGCACAACTTCAGTCTATTCATGAAAATGTAAAGGTAAGTTTTCACTGCCAGTTCATCTATCTGCATATCTAGACCCAAGTATTTGTTCGTTTGGGAACCCAGGTGGCCTTGTACAGAAATAGATCAAATTACATATAAGGGAAAAGACTAAGACTACTACAGTCCATAATCATGCCCCCATACAAATATTGATGAAGTCTATTTTTAAAAAGATCCCAGTGGCTTATACACTCTGTTATTATTTTTTTCATTGATTGTTTAAGCTCACATCCTCTGTTGAACATTTAGATTGTTTCCATTTCATTACCACTATAAATAGTAATACAGAAAATAAGTAGTAGCAAAATCTTTGGCCACTGACTTAATTTTATATGTCTTAAATTTTGACTACTGTATTAAAAAGCTTGATTACATTTCTCCTTTTGTATTTAATACATGTAATTTAAATAAAATAATTTATCAGTGAATATTTTGATCCTCATATAATGTTAGTTTTTAGAATTTTTATGCAAGTGAAATGTTAAATATAAGTACTTTTTCCAACTAACCAAGCAAATGTAACCAAATTAATATTTAATATAGTCCAGAAAAAAACCTTTAAAATTCAAAGCAGCCAGACCTGAGTCTGAATAAATTAATCTTGCTGGGCATGGTGGCGCACACCTATGATCCCACTACTTGGGAGGCTGAGGCAAGAGGATCACCATGGGTTCAAGGCCAGCCTGGGCTGCATAGTGACTTCAAGGCCAGTTAGCACTAATAGGGAGAACCTGTCTCAAAAAAAAGAAGAAAGAAAGAAAAACAAACTTAATCTTACAGAATAAATGGAAATTATCAGTGTTTTTATGCTTATTTTAATCTCATACATGGTAACAAACATTTTTTACTTAACCATTTAAATTTCATCATTTTTGAAACAATAGCACACTTTTATCCTTTTCCTTTAAATAGACTTTAAACCAAATTTTAAAAATAATTTTTAAAGGAGAAAATTTTATCAAAATTTCTTGAATTTTATTAGTCTATAATGTTACTTTAATTTTTAAAACTGCTAATGATGATTCTGTGTTGGCACTTTGAAATCAGTGTTATGCTGATTTTTTCCCTTAATTTTTATTATGAAAGCTTTCAAATAAATGTAAAACTAGAACACTATCATAATGACTGCCTGTGTACTACCACTTAATTTCAGCCATCATCAAGATCCTGTTGGATTTATTTTACCAATTCTCCATATACAGATTCTTTTCTGAAGTACTTTAAAGCACATCCTAGGTATAAATTTGTATGTTTTTTTCAGCAGACTTTCTCGTCTGTGGTTTGTACTTCTAACATGATCATAAAACAGGCCAAAATTTGCATGAATAAATTTAACATGATCATTTGACCTATTGGTTTTTTTTTAAATGCATTCCCAAAAACCAAAACATGTTCTATAATTAGATTTGATATGTTAGCATTTATTTTCAGCTTAGTTTAATGAGCAAGCCAACTATAAATTCTAGACTTATTCCTTATAGAAATCTTACAAGAGGTGTTTTTTTGTTCCTCTTGTTTTTCATCAATCTGTCGAAACAGACTTAAACACCTTATCCAGCCAGGCTCCAGTGGCATTAACAAATTTGAAAGTTTTAGGAATTATATATCATGGATAATATCAGCTTTTAAAATGTGTTTTCAAATCTCTAAGGCAGGCCATTTCTTCCTTACCCTAAGTAGATGTACAGTTTTTGAGACACTGATGCCGTACTTCCTATGGGACTGTGCACAGGGAAAGAAATGGTGGGTTTGGGGGAGATGAGCAGTGAGGTTTGTTTTCTTACATCACACTCCCTGTTTCTGACTTCACATTTTCTCCAGTGTCCAGTTCTTAGCAGGTTCACTTTAGCCCATAATAAAGGTAGCAAAGTTTGGAACTTGAGCATTAAATATGGATATCCAGGGCCGGGGATTTAGCTCAGTGGTTCTGCCACCTGCCTCACAAGCAGAAGGACCTGAGTTCGATCCCCGGTACCAAAAAAAAAAATAAATAAAAATATGGATATCCACACAAAAGGGTGAATTAGCTTTAAAACTATAACAAGATTTCTAAGTCTCTGCTGTTTCAGCAAATTATTGAAAATTATTTCTATTAAGAAAGGTAATAGATATGAAAATTCTGCATCTCTTCAAAGAATGATATAAATTTTATCTAAATTAGGCTAATTTAAGTAACATTTAATATTTAACTATTTAATGAAAATACTTAAGAAATCTGGTGTGAAATAGAATCATTCTTTTAAAAAACCTTTGTCAAAGCGTATTTGCACCAGGTAAGTTGGTAATTTTTCTTGCTCTGGAGTTAGAAACTCAAAGTCTTGGAGTAGGGGAGGGACTAGATTTTCAAGTTACCATTTCATCGTACAGCAGTAAAGTAGAAGCCCTCCTTACACTCTTCCACTTCTCTTTGTGTGAGGTGTGCCATTTACTTTAGCATGTGTTTATTTGAGCCTTCTTAAAGAAATATACTCAAGTGTATGTGTAGTGCTGGCTTTTAAAGGTTATAAGAAGGTTGGGCATTTGAGGGAAATTTTTCATGAAAAATTACAGTACTTATTTAAATATTACTCAGTTTGCCTCAGACTTAGTTGAGGCTAGTCTAAACAGTTTCACAAAGCCAAAATATTTTAGGCAGCATATTGTAAAGATATATAACCAAAGTAGGAAATTAAATATTCAAAGGAGTGAGAGAACTCTCAAACTCATCACTTCTCACATAGACATAAATTACTAATTTTTAAACTTTTAGGTTAGGTGGAATGTATAATATTGTAGTGTCTGATCATTGGCAATTTATTTCATAATTATCCACTAATATTCTTAATTTTTAGTTCAGGTGGAATGTAATCATTGGTAATTTATTTTATACTTACACTCATTTACATATTAGGGTCAAAATGGAACTTGATTACCTTTTTACCCCCATTTCTTCAGGTGCTCAAAGAACAATACCTTGGCTATAGGAAAATGTTCTTGGGAGATGCCGTAGATGTGTTTGAGGCCAGGCGGGCAGAAGCTAAGAAGTGGCAGAATACACCCAGAGTTACCACTGGACCCACGCCCTTCAGCACCATGCCAAATGCAGCAGCCATTGCCATGGCTGCAACACTTACACAGCAGCAACAGCCTGCTACAGGTCTGAATGCATTCAAGTTATAGCTTATTGTTTCAAATGCAGAACATTTATGAGCATTTTTATAAGTCTTCCTTTTGTGTGAGCACTGAAGAAATTTCTATGAATAGCTGTTCCAAAACAATCTAAAAATTGTGATGGACACAATTATTAACATACCTGACAAATGCAGGGTAGTCTAGCAATAATTATACATCAGATATAGAATATTGTGAATTTACTTAATGTTATTTGCTGTATTGCTATAGTATTCTTTAGAACATGGTGTTTCACTACTGAATTACATTTAAAAATGACATTAGATTCTAAAATTGTGATTGTGTCATTGTTTTAAGGTCAGAGATCATCCATCCAACCACTTAATACTGATAGATGGTGCATTCTCATTTTCATCAGACAGTGATTGCAAAGTAGCCACATTCAGGATGAGTATGTTTTTACTGACTGAAGATATATTGAGGATCAATAGGTTTGTTTTTATGTACTTTGGAAACAGAGCATGGGCCCTTTAAACCAATTTTTAATGTACATGCTAGAGTATTTGTACCTTTTCAAAATGAACAGTAGCAAGAGCAGAAAAGATATTTTGAGATGTGTATTCAGTAGGAATTGGGAAGTTGAGCAGATGAAAATAATTAGTGAAATACTGGAATGCAGGTCCTTTTGTTCCTTGGTTTAATTCCACTTCTAAACAGAAACATTTTTGTGGTATAGTTCTAAATGTTCTGTTTGGTCTTTTGGAGGTTATTAGTTGTCTTAATACTCCTGCAGTCTCTTGTCAGGCTTGAAGTTGACATAGAAAAATAGTCTTTATGGATACTGATTATTTTCCATGAATCATTTATAAATTTTTGAGTAAAGCTTATTTATTCTATAGCATGTGTCTTTCTGAGAACTCCATATAGTCTACTAGCAAATTATAATACAGAAAGAGTAAAAAACACCAAAAAACAACATGTTTAGGTTGCATTCATGCTGCCCTGTACTGGAGAAGCATTCTCTGGTCACTGTTGGCATTTTAAAGAATTGTTCTTCACATTTGGAGATGACAGAAAATGACTTGCCATCAGTAAAAGGCTGATGATAGATTTATGCCAAATCTTCCACCTTCCGTGGCTGGACCCATGTGAATAGTGGCTTGCATAAGCACTGTCTAGTATCTCTAGCTGGCTTGAGTGTAGGATTGTATTCTCAAGTTGTGAAGGGGAAAACGTCATTATGGGGTTGATTGCTTTGAAGAATCAGTCCCATAATCCTGACCATTAACTCTCATGATTACTTAATCAGCTACTCAAACTAACCCTACTATCAGTTTACTATTTAGAGCCAGTGTTAATCCTAAAATAGATCCTAAAATGTGGGTTGGGTTAAGTGTTAAGTATTTGTTAAATATAATTGATTTCCATACAATAAATAAATAAATGAGAAAAGTCATTTAACTAAATGTTATGCTGTAAGTGAAAATATTCTATGGTGAATAACTAAACTTGAAGTAAAATCACCTGTCAAGGTTTTGTTTTGTTTTTAACTTATGTAGACATTCTAATCTTGAGAATTTCATAGGTTTTCACTCATATATTTTGGGCCCATGGACCTATGAAGATACATGTTCATTCTATGAGTGCTTACTATGTGCTAGGTTTGAGGGATGCAAAGGTAGATGATATAGATATGCTCTTTACTCTCTGTGGTGGGAGAGAATATTACCTTAATTTGATGTAATCATCCTGAGGAACCTTTTGCTCATATGCTTTAATTTGTCTATGACTTTTACCAGTATTTTTTTTTTTTTGGCCAGGGGACATTTACTACTTTCAGTGTTCTTGTAGTTTAGGAGTCTCCATAAGGACTTTCTAATCAGGAGGCAGGAATAGGAATTGATCAACCTAAATAGTCTTTTATAGTGTTTTCACTTTGAGTTGTATGAGTTTTTAAAATTGAGAAGTTAACAACAGTGACAACAATTTTGCATTAGGGCCCTCTCTTCCCTTTTGTCTCTCAAGGTCTCCCAGGCTCTGTAGTCCATTCCTTTATGCTTTCCCATTCAGAAGTGGGTCACTTTAGTCTTAGTAATGTCACTATTGTTTGCAATTTATTTTGTAACAGTTCCTCATTATGCTCTGTAACTTTCATGAAATATTTTAAGTGCCAATTACAAATTTTAAACCATTTAGATAAAGCTAGATGAGCTTGTGCACTGTTTTCATACATCACTGTTAATCTGCACAAGATTTGAGTTACCAGAGAGTTTTTAGTTTTATTTGCATATAGACTTCTTGATTTATTAATGTAAATTAATATGGGCACAGAGCAGATGACTTTTTAAATTTTTTTTTTCTTTCTTTTTTTTTGTATTTTTTGAAACAGGACCTCACTATATAGTCTAGGTTGGCCTTGAGTTCAGTATATATCCCAGGCCGGCTTCCAACTTGTGGCTCTTCTCCTTAGCCTTCAGAGTGCTGGGATTACATGTGTGTACCAACTATGATCAATCAGTTAGCTTTTCTTAGACTGCTACGTTCTGAAGGTAGTTTTCCTCTTGTCTTTCTTAGAGGTGGAGGATAGACTTAAATGACTGATTGATCCTCCATGTGTGTCTGTGTCTGTGCGTGTATTTGTGCTGGGGATTGGACCGAGGGCCTAGTACATGCTAAGTGCACATTCTTAAAAAATACACATGCTTAAGCATGTGTGATTTATGATGTTAGTACTGAAAGCTGAAGGGAATTGAAAAACCAGCAGGCTGTTTTTGTATGAAATGAGCATCAGTATATGGGAGGGCTGGATTTTGCTGTTGTGTTTTGACACTTTTCGAAGTTCTTGATGTTTACATAAGACTTTCTCACATGACTTAGCTGCTGTTTTTAAGGAGAGATGACACATTTTCCTACTTTCTAGCTTTCAATGAAGGTTTGGACATTTAAGGTATAGTGTTAAATAGAAAACTTTGTTTGTCTTTTAGTTTCTTGTGCTTTTGTTGTATTTAATAACCAAAGGAACTTTCCCCATTAAATCAGTTAAAAATAAAACTTTTCAAATTGGGGAAAAGGCAGTTTTGGTTTTTAAAGAAAAATTATTTTAAAAGCCAATTTAGGAGTTACTATACTAATTACGTTAGGTATTTTTAGTGATCTTGGAAAACTATAAAACCTTTTAGCACTTTAGTCCTTTTCCTGTGAATGCAGTTTTAAGAGAGTAGATTCTATTCTGGAAAGTATGAATTACAGTGCTAATCCTGATTTTGTTGTGTGTGAATATATCATATAATTTTTGTAAAATATTACTCTACATGAAGATTTCACTTTGGGCAGTCATTGGTATATATTGCTATTAACTTGATTTTATTTATTAAAGAGCCTCTCATTGAACGACTAATAAGATTTTAAAGCAGACTTGTATTGTTTACATAACTTTTGCCTGAAGGATTTAGATTCTTCTAATATTGAAACTAATGATAGCCAGAGTGTAATATATGAGTCTGATACTTTGGCATGGGAGATATTTATCATGAATTTTTACTATTAAAAATGTTATACATTTGCCTACTAGTTTTATAAATGATGCCTTCAGAATTTGTATGAAGGTACAAAACTCAAAAGTATCATGTATCTGTTGTTCAATGAAAAGTCTTGTCATTGTTAGACATGAGTTCTTGATATCTTGAATATTGATGATTTGAGAATTATGTTCTATTGCTCTTAAAAACAGACCCACACACAACAAAAAGAGTAACTCCTATGACTTGTAAGGCTGAGGGCTGTGGTGTGCATTATTCTGTAGGGTCTTCCACCAGCAGTGCCTCCTAATTACATGTGACACTTAAGTTTCTCAATGTTAAAGAAATTGGACATGTGTTTTTTACATATTATTTTTGTTAGAAATAAAATGATATGCTTGATTTCTTTTTCCTATGGTAACATTTTACAAAAGAGTTACTAGACAATTGTTTTATTCTCAAATTGATCTTAAACTGGATGTAAAAATTTGAATCATTTTTTAATTTATTTTTTTAATAGTAGTATAAGAACTTTGGCTCCTATTAGTTGTTACTCTTTATTTTCTAGATAGAAGCTATTTGAGAAGTCCAGTTTCTGTCCTGTATAGCAAAATGTAGTTTCTCAGTTTTTTGTTTTGTTTTGATGCTTTATATTTTACACTACCTTTGGAATAAACCTCATTCTTCATTGGACAACTTAAAGGCTTTGTTTCTTTAAAAATTTAAATTTTAATATGTATACTACTTTGGCATTCCCTTAATTTTGAGATGCACTGATCACTGTGCTTGAAAAAGACAAGACTGAAGATTGTACTATGAAATTTATTGAGTAATTTTCATAAATTTATCAAATGAGAGATTTTTAGATTTTTGTATTCTGCGTAGTTTTAAAATAATAGTAGTTAAAGAGAGGCTAGTAAGTTTGATGCTGTTCTTGCCAAACAAACTCAGCCAAAATCTTTAAAGTAACAAATGGGAAAAGGATGACTAATCGTTCTGTATCTGAGTACATTTTCCAAAATGTTGGAAAGGAACTTCTGAATTGAAATCTTGAATGTATTGAATCTGTCAAGGTACACAGCTGGTGCCTTTGTAAATGTTCATTATCTATCTTATTTAATCAGGTGATAAGTGGTGTAATGTAGCAAAGCTGAAGAATAGAACTCAGTTGTCACCTTTTGTGAACAAGTTGGAGTTGTCATGTTACTGTGTAATTGGTTTGCTTTAAAATGAATAATAAATTTAATAAAATACAACATTGTCTTGTTTTTTATCTACTTATTGCTATGATTTATACATAAGAAATAATGCCTAGTGTCTAAGGTACTTTTATGAAGTAATATGATAGTTTTTTCATGTTAGTGTCAGTCTCTCGATCAGTTGAGACTTAACACTAAGGAGCTTGTTTAAAAATAAATAGAAATAAAAACCTTTACTTGATTACACTAACTAGTTTTGCCGAAAACAAGTGAGGAGATCTAAAATAACTCTAGAAGTCAATCTAAAAGAACTATAATTTATAATACATTAAAGATTTCAAATTATTTAGTAGATTAAACTAACTTCTTTTATTGTGGTAAGCCTCTTAATTTATAGTTCAGAGCAGGTTAATTAAAAATTTTTTGGTTAGGTGATTCATTTGGGAAGTTAGGTCAGAAAGATCTTGAAAACACAAGATTTAACAAATGGAATTTGTTAAAAGTAATCACTGTTCAATTTTAAAATAATTTCATAAAAAAACTTTATTCTTGAAAGAGTAAGGCAAATTTGTTTTTTTTCCCCCCTCCCATTTTTTTTTATTTATTTTTTTTTATACCAGGGCCACAGCCATCTCTGGGAGTTAGTTTTGGAACGCCATTCGGCTCAGGTATTGGCACTGGCTTGCAATCAAGTGGCTTAGGTTCTTCAAACCTTGGAGGTACACTTTAACTTTTCTAATATTTCATTGAACTATTATACATTTGAAATGATACTAGCCTGTAAAAAGTTTTCTAAGAGGATCTGCTGCTATTTTGGAAGTTAAGATTCCATCTGGCAAAAATGATTCTCCAAACATAATCATTGCTTTCTAGTACTAGATTTAGAACTTAAAGAATCATTCCAACTTCTGTGATTAGTAAATATAAAAAAGTATTAAAATTAAGTGCTAGGGGTGTTCATATTTTCAAATCAATATGATGACATCATGAACTTGAGTTATTTAGTTTTAATAAGTTTAATTTTAATTAAATTTTTAAAACTAGTCTTCGTATTACTTGGAAATCCAATGTGCAGCTGATGGTATACATTCTAATCCTTGTCTTTTTTTTTTCCCTAAAAATGGAGCACATTAAATGGGGAATTCATTATAAAACAGCTTGACTTCTGTTCATTTCTAAGCACTTTTGGCATACTTGCATATATATGTATATATATATATACTTGTATACATAAGCAATTGAGCATATTTTATTAGTTTCATAAATTAAGGCAAGTCTGCAAAAACATTAGATAAATACAAATGCATTCATAATTCTTTGGTACTGTTAATTGAAAGTTCTTTGTGTTTTGGCAAATGTATTGTAATATTATGCATAAAGTTCCCTTATTTCCACTAAAGTACATATAATAGGACTTATAAGCTATTATCATTAATTAATATAGACTATTCTATATTAGAAATTACTGGAATCCTGACAGGCAACCTAATTTCCATCATTTATAATTGTTTGCCATCCTATTTCCTAGAGTTATAGTTAGTGATAACTGTAAAACTCAATATTTTAAGTAAGCTATTGCAAAATCTGAAAAGAATTTGAACTATTTATATAGTGCACCTAGGGCTTCAAGTACTCTGAATATCTTCATTTACTTTGTGTGATGAAAAATCCTTCAAATTGTGAAAATTATCACGTCAAAAAACATGATGCCCCGCTGCTAGTTTCTCACTGTTAACATTGATGGTGGTATGACAGGCATCTATTGTTATGGTGGAGTATTATATTGTGAGCTTTTCAATGGTAAGGATTCTTAATGAAGAATGTTTTGGTAAATAGCAGAGTAAAATTATCTTAGTGTTTACATTGTTGTGCATGTTATGCTTATTTATGAAGTTAGTCTTTTTTTGTGTGTTTTGCAAATGAAATACCCATCAGGTGCATATATTTAAAACTCTAAAATCATATTTGAATAGTCAGTAGAATTTCTAACATATCTGGGGGGAAAATATCAATATGACCTTGATTTTTATGGCCTTATTCTTTAAAACTTACTGATGGGTCATAAACTTAGCCTAAATAGTTATAAATAAATGTTTTATTTCAGAATTAATCTGTTTCTTAAAATCTTATGCACAGGAATAAATAGCAGATTTCCTTAATAAGGCAATGTTTTTCAACAGTGTATTATGCCTTTGATACTTTTCAGTTTTACTTGTGAGCATCCTTTAACCTGTGTTTTATGTACCATTGTATATTTCTCTATTACCCTTCCACTAGGATTTGGAACTAGCTCTGGTTTTGGATCCAGCACCACAGGGGCCTCCACATTTGGATTTGGAACAACAAATAAACCCTCAGGAAGTCTTAGTGCAGGTTTGTGTGTTTCTGCCTGAGTTCCAGGCGAATTTAAAGGTGCAAGTTATTTAATTTAAAGGGATAACTCTTGTTATTTTCAGTAATCTAAAAAGGTCCCTGACTCAGTTTCCACTAGGTCCCTGATTCAGTTTCTACTCTCTTAATGGACCATTCAAGGCCTGATCATATAGCTTTATTTCTTAAAAACTAAAGGACAAGTATGTGAAATATTTTTAATGAGACTTCTTAGTTTAATTTAATAATCATATCCTCTCTTAAAACTAAATACAGATAAATTTGAGCCCTAGTACTTCATGATAAAACAGTTTTCTTCAGTATTGCAAAAATGAACACATTATTACAGAAGTTTAATCCAATTTTTATCATTATTCATTCAACAGAACTATTTTTGTTCCAAAGAAATGTTCTTCAGTTCTAAGTCCCTTTGATTTTAAGAATACTGCCGTCTTATAAGTGATGATTAATTTGGTTTTCTTCCATTTTTGGAATAGTTGTGATCTTTTGACTGCTAGTAGAAAATTTACATAGAGTTTAAAATCAGCAATTTTTTAGTGGAGTAAGATATAAAATTTAGTGGTATCAAAACTATAATACATTAGTTGAGTAGGCAGTAAGAGTGCTTGATCTTTATTATACAAGGGCTCTTATAAATTTAAGTTTAAATACGTACTGCCTTTGGTGTGTTCATTGTCCTAACATTGTGAGTTGAAGCTTTCTTGGAGGATTTAAGATTTCAAGACTGATTCCAAATGTTGTGAAAGTCTCTCTTCCAAAAATTTTTGGTGAGGCTGAGGAGGAAGACGTTTGAAGAGTTTTAATTAATACGAAAGTGTCTGATAAATTCTGTGTTTTCTATAGATTTTATTTAATCTGTGCTGAGGCTTCTCTTTTGGCCTAATTACTAAGCTTATGTGTTTGAGGGTTCCTCTTAATTATTAAATTGTTTTTCTGTAAAATCCCATGTTAGAAATTCAAGTCCCTAAGATATTTGCTATTCTTACAAATTATGTCTTCTTTCAGAAAGAAATTTACTGCTCATCTGTTTTTTATATGATTTGTGTGAGTGCATGTGATTTCACTTCTGATATGAATATTTTCTTCCCTAAACATAAGGGTTTGGCAGCTCAAGTACATCTGGGTTTAACTTCAGCAATCCTGGCATCACGGCATCAGCTGGTTTGACTTTTGGGGTGTCCAATCCTGCATCTGCAGGTTTTGGAACAGGAGGACAACTCCTTCAGTTGAAGAAACCTCCAGCTGGAAACAAAAGAGGAAAAAGATAAACATGGGTGGATGTTTTGAGAGAATCCTTAGCAGCACCATTCATTCTATGAGTCTGTTTTTCTAGGGATGCAGCAGTTGAATTGCATCCCAGGAGATTTATAAAGTTTTGATATTTTTCCCTACTCTGGAATTTGAATGTTGTTTGCCATACTGAATATCTTTTTTCTTGTGAATTTAAAATCTGGCTGTGTTTTTTCCTTGTTATTTTTGATTCTCTATGTAAGAAATGTTGTAATTACATCACTATCAGTAGTGGTAAAAAACCATTAGTCTAAAACCTATTATTTAACCTAATGTTAATAGTAATGTCATTGTTCATAAGGTTTACATTCTGTGAATATATACACATTGGTTTCTTACACAGATAGTATGAAGTCCAGGGCCTATTCTAGAATTAGTTTGTTCCTTGATACAGGCCTTTTAAACGACACTGCAGGGCATCTTGTGAATGAATATATATGTAAATATATACAGAATAAAACAATTGTGTGTGCATATAAAATATATATTTACAGACCTAAAACTTTTGCCTCAGACTGTTCTCCCTTTTCAAGGGTATTCAATTTTTCAACTTTTACACTTCCAATCCTCACTGCTTATAGAATGATGAGCTAGAGATATTTCCTCTCATTTAATATGTTTGCTTAAAGACTTACTGAATGGTTACTGGTGTAGATATGTGACCGAGTCGCCCCAGTCTTTTCCATTTTTGTTTCCATCTTAACCTTTAGCAGCTGCTCCAAATGAGGAATGCTATAAGACTCATCAAACGGATTTTAACAGCTTTTATATGTATTTTCATATTGCTTCTGTGAGATCTTGCATATCTGAGATGGACGTTCAGGAGCATACATATTTGAACTCCAGACTGGTGTTCTGGGGGCAAAGAGCTATTAAGCCAAATTGATTCTATGCAGGTGAAGGATGCACTATTACTTTAAGTGAAAACTTTTCTAACTATTCCAATTCAGAGTTCTTTCTTATAGGGCTATTGATACTGACACCAAATGGAGTGGCTTCTCAGCCTCTTAAATGTCTTAAGTAAGTGCTTAATTTGGAATAGAGAAACAGTATATTTTAAGACAGAAAAATATTCTTTGTAGCAACTCTACTCTCCCTAGTTGTAACAGTGAACAGAGCTCCAGGTACAGGATAGACATGTCAGGTTGCATCTGTGTAATATTTATCTATATTCCCACTAGTGGTGACAGGTGGGTAAAAGAGAATGTTAGTCACAATTTCAAGAGAGAAACCGTTAAGTACACAAGCCAATTTATCTTTCAGGTACAGTTTGCAGATGGGATATAAACACGGTATTTCATTGAAAACAGTTTAATTTTTTATACAGAAAGTTTTGTACATAATGTACATCAGTGACTATTTTCAGAATCATTTTCACCAACGTACCTTTTTTTCTAAAATAGGTATTGCATATATAAATATGTATACACATATATATTTTTAGTATATCACTAGTTGGGTTTGATTATAAAAGTGCTGTCAGATCTGTTTTTATTTATCTGCATACTGCAATGATTGGCTTTTTTGAATGGAAACTTTTGCACCTTTCTGCATTAAAATTAGGAAAATTATTTGTCTTTGAGCACTAAACTTGTTTTATTCTTGCATATTTCTGTAATATGGTTATCTTCAGATCCAGATCATGGGAGAGGTTAGGAAAAAGGGTGTGATTTTGTATCATTGTCAGAGTTAGGACACAATTAGAAAACTTTTTAAAAAGGCATTGCATTGTACTGCAAAAATCTGAATATATATATTTTTTTCTTTATATATTTTACTCTTTAATATGTTGAACCACTGGAAATTTGTAAAAGATTAATTTGTGATGAGTTTAAGTGTTGTCATTGTCTCCATTGTCTTCATTTTGTCTAGAGCCTATTATAGAAACAATAAAATTTATTGTGTCAGTGGCTTTGATTCTTCATAGGTGTCGATAGTTATTCTTGATACATAATTTTATTGTCCTGTCATTCTGTTTGGTTGGTTAGTGTTTTCACTGGTTTATACATCTTCCTCTTTTTTAAACAAAGAACACAAGATAGATAATAAGTTCTTGTCACTTGTTTTTGTCTTTTCTCCAAATTACAAAAACATTAAACATTTTAGTTGTATGGAAGAATATTGACTATAAAGACCCCTTCAGCTCCCAGCCCAACCCCACCTCTTCCCTAGGGTGTTCTCTCTAATGGTTTGGTATATATCCTTGTAAACTTTTTAAAAACACCTTTTTCAATGTATGTGTTTAACCATCATCTTTTCTCTTTTTTCTTTTCTCTCATTTTCTCATTTTTTAACATCTTTCAGATCCTTCCCTTTTCTTCAACAAGTGGGGTAAAATCTACATATTCCACGAGTTGCTTTTTTTCCATTAATGGTGTATCAACATCTTCCCATGTATGGATGTCTCAAGTGTTCGACTTTCTCCTGTTGCTGGCCAGTTAGGTTCTTTCCACTTTGTTAATTTTACAAAAGAAATTCCAGTGCATGTCCTTACACATGGCATTTTGTGCTTATGTTTGATCCTAGAAGACAATTGCTGTGAAAGGGCACTTGTCAAAAGGCCTTCCAAAAAGGCTATATAAGTAAGCAGTCCTACTAGTATGCATGAATACTCAATTCCTAGCTTTCTTTAACCCTAGATATCAATCCTAATGAGTATTTGTGAAGTTGAACTTCTAAATTTAGCCTTCGTCTACTTTTTATACCAGGTTATTTAGGGATTTTTTTTTTTTTTTTTTGGTGCCAGGGACAGTACTCAAGACCTTGTGGTTACCTGGCAGGTGCTGTAGTGCTGAGCTACATCCCCAGCCCTCGGATTCTTTTAAATGATTTGTAGGAGCTCTGTTAATTGACTGATACTGCTATTTTTTCCTGAGATGCCTGGAGCCAGCTGAGTTGACAACCCTGCTTTGATCCTTTGTCTGTCATCCTGTGCAAATTACTTAACTTTTATAGATCTCAGCTTCATCATCTGAAAAATGGGCTTAATATACATGGGTGATTATATTAACAATTCATATTTTAAAGCACTTGGGTAGTATAACCCCTGACATGCTACAGCTTCATGCAACAGTACCTCATTGTAACCATGGTAGCTGGGTGCTTTATTGCAGTGATAAAGAAGCTGTCTTGTCATGTTTATTTTGGGGGATGGGGTGGGTATTTTAGGACACCTTTTTATTAGTACATGTTTGTAATTCATGCAATATATAATCATCTTGGGGAATGGTTACATGTACATATTACAGCTTGTCTTTTTTTTTTTATTAATCCTTATCCCTCCCCTTCCCCCTCCTCCTCTGGTTCCCCAATCACCTTTTTCATACCTGTTGATACTGTTTGTCTTAGTACATGTTATGGCTTACAATGTTTGCATTGGGGTTATTAGGTTCCTGTACATGGCATAGCTTTATTCCTCTCATTTCCCCTTCCCCTCTTCCTTTCCCCTCTCCTGTTCCCTTGGACCACTTCACTATTAGATGAGATCTGTCCCCTTGCCCCTTTCTTGTATCATTTTCTTTTGTTTGTACTTTGCCTCACTCAAATGAGGGATACTATATGGTATTCAAGCTTGTGTGTAGGACACTTACTCTTTATGATGAACTTCGATGCCTATTTTGTCAAGTTTGATTATTCTTTTAAAATTTTCAAACAAATAGTATACTCTGGGGAGAATTGCCATGTTAGTACGTTAAACATAGTATATTCATTTATTGTCATTCCTTTAATTAGGTTTTGCAGGTTTTTTTTAAAGATTGTTAATTCTTTTCCTTAATAGCATCATGATTTTATTTCTGAATTGGGTTTTTATCCAGCAGTAGGTATAAGAATTTGTATTAGACTCTACTTGATATTTTCCAGGATACTGGCCATGTTAGTCCCAGGGTCTTGTCACTTCATAACCCTGGCTTGGTATGTGCTTCAGAAAGTCCAGTGGAGCCAAGCTTAATGTCCTATTAATCACAAGTAGTGGTTATTATTCTATATTTTGGCAAGAAATGAATTTAAACAGTGCCTTTAGAAATACTATAATAGGATATTTTGTAAAAGATTTGGTATCAATGGTTTGTCAGAAGATAATTTGCTTTAACATCCTCTTTCCTCTCTCTTCCTGTGAATAAGCTTGTCTACACTGTACTTTTTGAGTGGAAGGACCTAATTTCAGTCTCATTCACAAAGTCCTTGCCTATCACAACACACCCCGCATTTACTGAGTGTATAGTTGTCCTGGCATGTAGTCATAACTTTTATATACTTCCCTTTCTGTAATCTCAGTGTTATTCTGGGGAGCAGAAATACCCACTTTATAATATAGAGGAACTGAGGCCTAGGTTAAGCAATTTTCTTGATGTCACATGGGTCTTCAGTTGGAGCTGAGGTTTGAGCCCAGATTTGTTGAATTCCAAGCACAGTGTTGACAGGGATCACACACTGATGCTCATGCCTCACCTTGACAAAGGAACTAAGGGTAATAGTGACCATACAGTGATGTGGGAAGTAAATGTGTGGTAGACTGGATAAGGGCAAGGTAAGGTGAGGACCAGGGGGTGTGGGATTTTAAAGAAAGGAGAATGTTATCTGGGGTGTAAAGATGATTGAAAGAAGCAAGAGCTGTATTGTGACCTTTTCCTGCTGTTTGCTATAAAGTGGTTCATGGAGAAAAACCTCTTGTCCCAGCAAAAGGGATGGGTCCCTGCACACATTAGAAATGGTAAAATGAGCAATTTTGATTGAGCCTTAGGAGCTGCCAAAGAGAAGTTTCCAAGAAATTTCCAGCAAAGCTTGTGTGACTCCTGAAACCCACAAGAGCACTTTTATGCTCTGACCAACAGACGAGGTCCCCTCCCCCCTCCTCCCCCTCTCTCTTTCGAGAGGGTCTCACTCTAGCCCAGGCTGAATTCAAACTCGTGATCTTCCTGACTCTGCCTCCCGAGTGCTGGGATTGCAGGCATGTGCTGCCATGTCTGGCCAGACTATGTCTTCTTGCCTATAAAGAGAAAAACTGAAACAGGTCTTTTTAACGAGAATGATGCAAACAGGTGAGAAGCCTCAGGTTTTGAGACAGCAGAAGATGGAGAAGTAGGGATTACTAGAAAAAAATTGGTTCTATCTCAGACTGGTTTTTGCCTTTTCTTGTTCATTCAATTGAATGCATTTTTTCCTCTTCTATTTGTCAGTAATAATTTTTTTTAAAGACTACCTCTTAAAGTTTGCAGTGCTAAAGAGTGTTTAACTTGGAGAGGATTTCTTGTCATTCCCATCCCTCTGAATCCCCTTGTACCTGGTAGCAATTGAACTTGATAAACATTCTGTATCATTCGCTGTGTGTAAGGCATTGCTGGGAAGTTAGGGGACAGACATACAGGCAGGATATTGTCTACACTTAATGTTAGCTAACACTCAGTGGCAGTGCCATTAAGAGCTCCTCATATATTAACTCATGTAATCTTTAGTCTTATGAGACCATTGTTTTTATAGATGAAGAAATAGGCACAGAAAAGTTAAACACTGCCCCTTGCACCCTTCACCACTCCCACTCCATACTGGGGATTGAACCCAGGCCTTTCTGTGTAGGCTCCCTCTATCACCAAGCTCCATTTCCAGCCCCAGCCCCACTTTTTGTGGTACAGGGGATTGAACCCAGGGAGGCACGCTTGCACTGAGCTACTTCCTCAGACCTAATTTTTATGTTGAGACAGGGTCAGAAGTTGCCAGGCAGGCGTCAAACTTGGGAAACTCCTGCCCCAGGCTCCCCAAGTAGCTGGGATTACAGGCACATATCATAGCACTGTCCCCAGCCCTTTCGAAATTAAAAAAAAATTTATATATAGTATATTTTGAGACAGTCTCATTGAATTGCCTAGGTAACAGTCACCTAACTAGTAGTGGATAGTCTGGAATTCAAACTGAGGCACAAATTGCTTTCTATCTGCAAATTATAAAGTGAGACTTAAGTATAAAAACACAAATTCTTTTAAAAAAAAAAAAATTCTTGAGATTAGCCCAGCACCCGGAAGGAAGCCCCCCCACTGCCATCCCAAGGTCCTAGGGCAGAGAAGCTGAACCGGTCCCAGCACCTGGAAGGAAGCTCCCCCACCACCATCCCAAGCTCCTAGGGCAGAAAAGGTGAGCCACTCGAGCGCCAGAAGCACCCCGGCCCCCGCCATGGAAATGAGAAGACACGTAGATAAGCCTCAAAAACAGACTTCCAGGTCACCTACAGCAACCCCAAAGGGAAAGGAGATGGAACAATCTGATACTCAGCCACCTGG